GAAAGACTTGGGGAGAGTGGAGGAATGAGCACAAATGCGGGGGAATGCCCTATGAGGCTGGCCAAGCCTAAGCAGGAAGCCTCGGGACTCGGCCCACTGCAGGAAGGTAGAGCCAGCGCGCCCTCTGCTGGTGCCTCCTGGTGCCACTGGCTTCCTGTGTAGCCACGAGGTTTTGGCAAGTGGAGGTTTTGATAGCCAGTGTGGACACCGGTGTTTAATAATGGCTACAGTAGCCCTTGTTTGTGCATTCTACCCAGGAAACCGCATCCCCTTTCTCCATCCTATCTGGGGCTGGAGTTTCTCTCTTGGCCCAGCCCAGAGTGAAAGGCTATTGATTTCAGGAAGCAGGATTTTGAGTACACACCCTTCTCGGACCAGCTCATCACGTGACCCTGCTCTGCTCACCAACCTGAATGTGACCTTTAAAGGGGAAGAGAGCTTTTTAAGAGCTCAGAGATTTACATTCAAGGCCAGAGCCGGAGCAGGGGAGGTCACGGAACCTTGAAGAGGCCTGATGCCAAGTGTGGGAATCTTAGACAGAAGGGACATCTAAAGTGAGGAAAGAATGGGGTTGCCCGGGGCACCGCTTAGGGGCCATGGCAGGTTTCCCCGGGCTGCAAGAGGAGCCCTGGAATAGAACACACCATTGCGTGTTTGTTTCTCTGTGTTGTTTGGAGCCTGAGAGCGGAACACAGCCACAGTTTTAAGTCATGTTTTCAAAGGAACCCATCCCTCCAAACGTTAAGCTCCCCAGCTATAGGCCAGGGCCTTTCTGACTTTGAGCCATTACATCATTGGTCTCAGATGACAGAGCCAGCAGGCCTGGCTGAGGTAGATACTAGTGAAAGAGCCCATGTTTTGAAAGACCTCATCCTCAGGCCTCACCTGGGCAGCCTGGTGGTCCTTCCTCTGTGCCTTACCCCACGCAGCTCTGTCATGCACATGGTTCCAACTTCCATGGCCTCCGGTTCAGCCACTGCCTCCTCTGGTGAGGGTCCAGGTTCAGACTCTCCTGAGCCCACACCACCACCACCCACTTGCTCTCAGCGAGTCTGCTTGGGCTGGCTTTCCCCTTCAGAGTCACTGCACAGCTGGGCCACTCTCCCACGATGCGGTTCCATCATCCCCTAAAAGCCCTTCCCTCTGCATTCCACCGTTTACACAGCCTCTCTACTTCTGCAGGTGTGCCAAGCACGTGCGGATCAGGGCCTTTACACTTGTTCCACCATCAGCCTGTGGTGTTCCTCCCCCCCCCACCCCCCGACACACCTCCCCCATCTCACCTTTAGCTCAGACCCGGCTTTCTCATGAGGGGTTTTCCCTCTCCTTTCCCACACAGTTATCCCCATATCCCATTATTCTCCATGACATTGTCTCAGATCTAGATTTACATATTGACTTATTTTCTTGATCTCTCTCTTCCCCAGGCAGAGGCAGGATCCATGGGGGAGAGAAGTTGTAGCTGTCTTGATCATGAACGGAAAGATAGGCGCTGCACTGGACAGGTGCGCGAGTGGATGAATGGATAGGTAGGGGAATGCGTGGGTGGATGGGTGGGTGGATTGGAAGATGAGTGGATGGATAGTAGAATAGATATATGTACGGATGATAGATAGATAATAGATGGATAATGGATGATGGAGGGATGGATGAATGGAAGGGTTGATGGTAAGTGAATGGGTTGATGGATGATAGATGGATGAGTGAGTGGATGGATAGATATAGAGGCCATATTATAATGTCTTATGGCCTTGTCTTGCTTACATGACCCTAAACTCCTTGAAGAAACAGATTATGTATATCATGTCTCCTACTGTGTTCTGTTGAGGTTGGGGTTCGCTGTGGGCTCAGGATTTGACAGTTAAAGGGATGGGGTCCAAAGCATTCGGTCTATAGACAAGGACATCCAAGTCCAGAGAAGAACACAACAGCTTCATACCGTAAGTCTCCAGAGGCCACTTCTGTGACCCTCTCCCCTCCTGAGGAAGGACCTTAGGGCAGTCCTTGGCTCTTGGCTCATCTTTAGCCCCCGGCTGGAGCTGGTGGGACAGTTGCTGATGGCAAAAGCTTGAGGCCACTGGGATGCCCAGCTTGACTTAAGTCCTCGGTACCTCTGAGAACTTGGGCAGAGGGGCAGGAGTCCCAGCTTTGCCACTTGTGAAGGGAGCATCACATACCTATTGCTACCTCGGGGCTCCTTCATCTTAGTTTCGAACAGGATGGCTCAGCAGGTAATGATGCTTACTGCCAAGCCTGTCCAACTGAATTTGATCACTGGGACACACCTGGTTAAGGAGGGAATCAACACGCATACTGTGACACACCATCCCTCCATGCACATAATAAGTTTTTTAATTAAATTGAATCATCAGCTCTAGACAGAGGAAAAAGTGTCCATTGTGTCTCGTTCGGGCTCCCGGTAGATGGACTCCGGTAACTGAGCCTGTCCGGATGTGCTTTGGGGCTCTAAAGCCCCACTTAGCTTTCTGGGCACCTGTTCTGTGGCTGTGATTTTCCCAGGTGACAAGGAGGCCTATCAGGTCTTTTCAAAGACCCAGAAACACCAGGGCACCCTGGGACAGTGGAGGGCAGGGCTCCATTCCTCCCCCCCCCCCCCCCCCCCCCCCCGGGCGGCGGGGGCGGGTCCCCCCCTCCCCCCCCCCCCCCCCCCCCGCAGCGTCTTGGCCTGCAATCACACCTCTGAGATCAGCTGACCCATGGGAGGTGCTGGTTCTGGTGAAAGGGGAAAAATAAGCTTTTTGTCACCTGAGGACTTGGCAGCCTCAGAGATTTCTAATCCCAGAGAGAAAAGCTCCAGCCACTTGACCACACCCTTCTGTCCAGGCTGATCATGCCCCCATCTACTCCCCACGAGCCTTCAAGGAGGCACACACCCAAGACACCCCCAAGCCCAGATCCTGTGCCACACTTGATGCTGGGATTTATGTGCTCCTTATACACGACGGGGAAATACAGCCATCTCACACCCCATCCCAGGTGACGGGCTGGGACTCCTTGCCATATTTAAGTACTGACTGAATTTTCAGAAGCTCTGAGTCCTACAGCAGCAGCTCCAGGCCACTCGCCATTGCTGGGGACCCAGCCCTGGCTTACCCCTGGGAGAGCTTGAACAGGCTCCTCTGCCTCCTCCACCAGCACCAGGAGGAGACCCCTTCCAGCCCTGGGCGGAAGCGCAGGCTTTGTTACCTAGGTAACAAGTAAGACTCTACTTTCAGCCCCTCGACTTTTGGTTTTGAATTTAAGCTTGCTTTTCTTTAGGAAGCTGGTCTTGACTGTCTGTCGTGGTTAGGATGTACCAGTCAAAGCTCCCCTCCTGGAAACTTAATCCTCAAATTCCTCTGTTGATGGTGTGTGGAGGTGAGGCCATTGGGAGGTCAAGGTGGGCTGGATAAGGTCAGGAGGGTGGGGCCCCTAAGTAAGTTAGTGGCTTTGTAAGAAGAGGCGATGAAGCAGGGAGATGCTATCCTCGTCAGTAAGTGCTGGCTGTGCAAGCCAGGCCTGAATTGTCTGCTCCCCACCCCGACTCATGTAAAACTTCCAGGTCTTGCTGAGTGTGAGTGCTGGCCTTCAATCCTAGCCCCCGAGAGGCAGAAGCACGGCCATCCCAGAGTTGAGGCCAGCCTCATTCACACATGGAGTCCAGGACAGCCAGACCCTGTCTCAGAAAGCCAACAAACAAATGCCAGGTGTAGAGCATGATTGTAATCTCACAGCACTGGGGAGGGGGAAGTGGGTGGGCCCTGGGGCTCAGCGGTCAATCCACCTTTAAGTCTCTGCCTTAAAAAAAAAAAAGAAAAAAGATGGATGGTCCTAAGAAATCATACCTGAGGTTGACCTACATGTTCATGCACATACATGTACATACATGCAAACCCCAAAACAATGAACAAGAAGGAGGCGATGGGGGAGAGAAGGGGGAGATAAACTGGACATACAGCACACCCGGTCTTTCTAGTCCCCAACATCGTGAACCAAATAAACTTTTTTTCTTTATAAATGACTCAGTCTGCAGTATTGTGTATAGCAACAGAAAGTAGACTGTGACAATACCAAAGTCTAGCAGGACTCCAAGGGTCACAGGTCCACATTCCCACATTCTCACAAGTCTCCTGCTGCAGACTGAGCATCTATCTGTGTTGTCCTTGCTTAGTACCTAGCATGGAATGCCAGCCCCCACACGATGGTACGGGAAGATGGGCTCTTGCCGGCAATAGGAACCAAACCCGGAAACAGTGATGTCCAGGGGGACAGGAGCAGACGGAATCCGCAGCCTCCTGAGAACACCAATGGCCCTGCACCAGCTGCCAAAGCACCATCCTGAACAATGGACTCTGAGGGAAGGGGTTAGCTAAGGGATGGTACAAGTACCAGAAGCCCAGCCTGGGAATGTGGGGCTTGAGGGATGTCGCTCTGTGGGACAAGGCTGTCCTTTTGGATAAGGGAGGTATCATTTTTCTTGTTGTAGTCAGCTACCCAGAAGGAAGCAACTTGAGAAAGGAGGGGTTTGTTCTGGCTCACAGTTTGAGGGTGCAGCATCCACAGTGGCATGGGGACAGGCGTGGTAGGCCACTGCATCTGCAGTAGGAGGCAGAGGGAGACGAAAGCTGTTGCTCATCCCACTTCCTCATTCTTGTTCAGCCTAGGACCCCAGCTTTTTGCCTTCCACATTCAGGATGGGCCTTTCTAATATCTCTCACATGTGCTGACAGAGATTTGTTGATTCTAGACCTTGGCAAACTAACAGTCAAGATTAAACCATCACAGAAGACTTGGGTTTATGAGTGATGAGTGATGAGTGATGAGTGATGAGTGAGTGAGTGAGTGAACAAATGCATGAATGAATGAATGAATGAATGAATGAATGAATGAATGAATGAGTGAATGAATGAATGGGCCTGGTGTGTCCCAGCTCTGGATCACCTCGTTGCACCTTCTTCACCTTTCACCTTGTCTTGACCCCTAGGTCAGCGACATTCCCGATGGACGCTGGCGTGAGGGCTGCTCTGGGGCTTTCCCTCACTGGCATGTCTGGCTTCAGCCTCGTGTCCCCTGCCTGGTTCCAGAGCCCTGCCTTCTGCTATGGTGTCTTTACCTACTGCTCCTGGCCGCAAGGTGACCGCTGGAACCAGAGCTGTGTGACTTTTGGGTCCCTGAAGGACATGCCAGGCTTGGCCTGGAAGGTGAGACATAGGTTCTTCCAGGGCTGCTGGCTCCCTCGAGGTGGGCTCGGAGCGTTCTTTGCTGTCCCAGTGTCTGGGCACACGGGTTCTTACACCCAGCCACTCTCACAGACACCCAAGGAACTTTGCACAGGGTTCTGAGCTACAGCTCTGGGCTTTAGACCCTGCCTGTATCTAGTAGGGCGTGGATTCTGTCTAAAGGCAGCTCTCGGTCCCCAGAAAACCTCTGTGCAAACCAGGAAAAGGCACCTTCTTCTACCTGCTAAGAAACCACTGCATTGCAGATACGCAGATATGTGATGGTTCCACACTATACGCCCCGCACACCCCTGCCTGACCCTGCCCGAAGCACGGCTGGGATGGACGAATGCTGTTCAAGCCCTTGTAGTGGTGCATGTCATGACAATCGACAGAGAGGATGAAGAAACGGGTACTCAGAGCGGCACTCAGGAGGAAGATTATATAGCCTTCAAAACTGATCACAATGGTGACATTGTGGATTAGGGCCTTCTCTTGGCCATCCTGGCAAGTACTTAAGACAAAGGCAGGATGCAGTGGTTCGTTGACCCGGATTCCGTTTCTGCTGATTTGATTAGCTGTGTGACTCGAGGCGAAGGGCTTGCAATCTCCAGACCTCTGTCTACTAATAGGGAAAACGTGACTGCCATGCGCCTCATCTCACCGCCTTCTCCCCTCTCCCAAAGGTCTCAGCAGCAATGCTCTTGGGAGGCTGGCTTTTGCTGGCCATCAGCGCTCTTCTCCTTTCGGCCTGGGCACTGGCCCCAAGAAGGTTGCATCCCAGGAGGCGCTTGGGTCCAACACCTGTGGTGCAGGCAGCAGCAGGTAGAGCCACACACACAGTGCTGAGATCTTGGAGGCAAACCCCAGGACTGTTAACTGCTACCGTCCTTTAGCGCTTCATGACTTGAGGCAAGGGGAGACACCATGCTGAAGCCACTCACACCTGACCTTAGCCAACCTAGTCCTGTCCACCCCGATGCTCCTCTTTCATCCATTCATTCTGTACCGATGCTTACCAGCGCTACCACCACGAAGTTGGGGAGGCTGTGTGCTGCCCAAGGATGCCCAGCCAAGAGCTGAGAGCGTGCTGGCATCTGGGCCTCACTTCGCCTGCTGCTGGAGTGGAGGAGGGTCACTTTTCTCCAATTCCCATCTTCTGGGAGCCCCAAGGTGACTCTCAACTAACTCGCCCTCCACCCCTCCCACAACAAGGCCCCTCTGGCTCGGCTCTCCCCTTCCCTCCTGCACTCAGCAGACAGGTCCAGCTGAGGTGAAATCAGATCCAGCAGGCCGGCCGGCTTATCCACCTTCCAAGGGCTTCCCATGGCGGGCAGAGGGAAACCCAAGTCTTCCTCTCCTGCCTCAGCCCTCCCCGTCCTGGCCTCACCTGCCCACTCTGATTCCGTAATCCCACACTCACCCCCCACAGTCCCCACCACCTCTGCAGGGATCTGCTCAGAACTCAGCAGTGCGAGGTAGACCCTTACTTCTGAGCAGGAGCCAAGGCTCCTAATCTCTAGTGTATGCCTGGCATTACCCTTCATTCCCCACCTCACCTAGCGCCCGCTGGGCCCTGGCCTGGAGGCTGCTTTCTCCTTCTCAGCAGGAGGACCACCAAGATGTCTGCTTTCTATCCTTAACACACGCCCAAGAGTTTCTTTTGCTTCTAATCTATTTTTAATAGAATCTCGATCTTTAGAGTCTCTGAGAAGACTATGCCTAGATATGCAGTGTCAAAGCCTCCCAGGAACGTGCAACTTGACACCCCAGAATTCTACTCTGATGTACAAATTGATGGCAAATTGACCAGAAGCAAAGCATCACTCTGTACCAGGGCTCTTTCCTGGGGAGGGGTCACTTTTAAATTAAACATTAGCAAGACACAGCATGGAGAACCTGAAAACAATTTACTTTTTTGCATGGTGCTGGGGACGAAGGCCCAAGAGCTTGGGCAGTTTGTGTGTGTGTGTGTGTGTGTGTGTGTGTGTGTGCGTGCGTGCGCGCGCGCGCGCGCGCACGCATGCGTCGGTCTCTAGAGTGGGTGGATGGAGAGATGGATCGATGGATGTGTAGATGATGGATGGATGGATGTTGGGGTATGGGTGCTGGGGCTGGGTTCCAGAAGCCATTGACCTGTACCCTGACTTCCCTTCTCTGCTGCACCAGCAGCCTCCACTCTTGTAGGTCTGCTGGTTTTCCCAGCCACTCTGGCTTCCCCATTCGCCAAAGAAGCCTGTGAAGGCTCCACCACGTACCGCAGTGGAACATGCTATGCTGGCTGAGCTGGGGCTATGCCACCGCCATCCTCAACGTGGCCCTGACCAGCCTGCCTGTTGTTGGATGGCCTCAAATGACCACAGTCCCAAGGACAGCTGTCCCCTTTTCTGGGGACACTCAGGGAATCATTCTTGTGCCAGAATAAGAAAACGAGCATCACCAGGAAAAGCAAAAGAGAAACAGCCACAATCTCTACAGTCGATGAAGTTGCTGCATACTCAGGTTCAAATTCCACCTCGCCTGCTTCCACGCTGTGTAGCCTCGGGCAAATCACTTTCCTTCTCTGGACTCATTTATTCTTTGGTACAGTGGAGGTTGGCATAATGTGTACTCTGTGTGGATGTTATGAAGGACTTTGTTTTGCCATATAAAAACAGATGGAAAGTGCACATAGCAACCCTAGGAAGAGCTGGCTAACCCAAAACTTTTTTTTTTTATTTCCTTAAGACAGCATCTCTATGGAGCTCTGATTGTTCTGGAACTCTCTGTAGACCAGGCTGGCCCCAAACTCAGAGAGATCTGCCTACCTCTGCCTTCCAAGTGCTGGGATCAAAGGCATGCACCAGCGCAGCTGTCTAATCTGGAACTCTTTCCATGGGTGAATACTTGTTGTCTCTCTTTTCTTATTCTCCCTCCTCTCCGGGGGCGGGGGGACATCTTTATTTCCCATGAGCTACTTAGTGGTCTGTTGTGTGCAGCACGCTGGAGGGGGCTCTGCACCCATTCCCACCCTCGGGGTAAAATAAGCACTGATGAAGAAAACATACTGTTTCTGGGAACCCAGAGGTTTTCTATCTGGCTCTGATGTCTGTCTGTCTGTCTGTCTGCCTGCCTGCCTGTCTCTAGGCTTCTTGTCTGTGATGGTTTTATGTTGGTTGTCAACTTGGCAGGACCAGGAATCACCTCAGAAAGCAGCCTCCTCGCATGCCAGTGAGAGACTTTCAAAATTAAGCTCACTGGGCTGGGAAGAACCCATGTGAATGGGCAGTACCGTCCCACCGGCTGGGTATTGGGCTGCATAAAAGTGAGGAAGGAGCTGAGCACAAGTGTTCCTCTCCTTCTGTAACCTGAATGTGGACACAATGGGACCCACTGTGTCACACTCCTGCCACCAGGCCTTGCCTGACAAGATGGACACTGCACCTTCAAACTGTGAGCCAGAATAACCCCCACCCCCACCCCAGATCACAAAATCTCAGTCGTCAACATGACAGGATCTAGAATCACGTGGAAGATGATGGACATGTCATGTGGACACACCTCTTAGGGATTATTTTGTTCTTATCAGAGGAGGAGGGAAGAGGTGCCCATCTGGCTAGCATGACTCCCTGGGCTGGGATCTCGGGCCCTGTGAAAGGAAAAAGGGCCAGGCAGCAGCATTCTTTTCTTCACTGGGATGTGATGTGACCAGCTGCTTTAGGCTCCTGCCACCCTGACCACCCTCCCCTACCCAGGATGGGCTTCCCTGGAGCTGTGAGCCAGAATAAACCCCATGTCCCTTCATTCACTTTGTCAGGGTATCTTAGCATTACAGTAACAGGAAGAGAAACTGAGGCATGGCTCTCTAGCCTCCCATGTCCTGGCCCTAGCTAAGAGCATTCTGGGTGTTTTCAGAGGAGGCATTGATGCCATCAGTCAACTGGGGGGGGGGTCTCTGTGAAGACAGCTGGGGAGCCTGGCTCCACCCCTAGATCACTCCCTACTTCGCAGGGACCCCTGAGGTCCTGAATCCTCTCTGTGAACCGTCCATCAACCCAAGAGGTGGCTTCAGCACAAGAAGCAAAGACATTTCCAGAGATTCTGTTTTAAACACCAAATGCTCAAATTCCGTGTATTGTTTTTTCCATCAAAACCAGAGAAGCCATTGTCACCCAGGAACCCGATAGCCACAGAGCCTGGAGAGCTGTGCCAGGCAGAGCTCCAAGCAGCTCCCTAAAGAGGAAACTCCCCTACAGCTGGGAGGGCTTGTGGCCCTCTGCCAGGGTGACTTAGCCACAGACTGACTCCTCGCACTTCTGTCAAAACCTGCTGCTCCAGACTGGAACCCCACCATGGGCTCAAGCGCCACTGTCTGTCTCTGTGCAGAGCCCATGGGGGTTTGGAGAGGGGAGGAGCTTCCGACTCACCACTCCTGGCCTGCTCCATCCCACAGCCAAGAGCTCACCCAGCCACTATCCCCCTCCGGGAGTCACAGCCTCTTAAGTTGCACAGGCTCACTTGAGAAGCCAGAGGAGGCTGGCAGGAACTCAGGGAAGATGGGTTCCCAGCCAGGACAGCTCAGCAGGGTGAGGGAGGGGACTCTCCATCAGAAGCGGGGCACGGGGCTGAGTCCAGAAGCAAGAAAGCCACTACTCTCCCTGTTGCATAGGTGTGATAACTAAGTCTCAGAGAGGGTCTTGCCCCGGTATACACAGCCATAAACAGCTGCCATGACATTTTTCACCCAGGGGGCCGTGTTGGCGGGGAGAAGGACCTTTATGCATCCCTACCAATAAAAGCTAAAATTGATTCTACCCCAGGGGAGTATGTAGGCTTACATACAAAGTAAGGAGTTATGGCTATAGGGAGGAGCTTGGGGGATGTTGAACCAGCCACACTGGAAGGTCATTTCTCAGCATGAATGATGGCGACCCTTCCTCCAGCCTTCCCCAGCATGTGTAGTAGCCTCTCTCTGAGACCCTGAGGCCACATACAATCTGAGTACAAGTGGCTCGGAGAAATGGCTAGAGAGTTGGGTGAGGAACCTGTGGCCCTGTGACTCACACATTGGGGTGAAAATGCCCATGGCAGCTGCTAACGGCTGTGTGGACCTTAGTGTTTATGTCAGCGATCCACAAGTCCTGCCAGGATAGTCTTCACAGCTGACCTGATAAGGATGGTGGCTGCGGGTCTGGAGGGCAGCCTGGCAGCAGCAGCAGAGCTGGGCACCTAAATCTCCCAAGTACAGACCTGGATAGACAACCCCAGCTCATTTGGAATTGTGAGAAAGTCATGCCTATTTCCATCCATCCTTTACAGCCTGGAATACGAAAGTCTCACTGAGCCCTCGTGTGTCTTCAATGCCTCTCACGCTCTTATTCCCCATTTGCTATATGTGTGTGCCAGAGAGGAATGCAAGTGTGTGGTGGCCAGAGGCCTACCTGGAATGCTGTTCTTTAGGTACTATCAGGTCCAAAGGAAACTCCGATTCCCCAAACTCAAAAAGGCAATCCAGATACCCAGAAATGAGCTCATCCTGCAGGATTTCTGGTGGTTTGACTAAAGCCAGTCTTCCTCAGGAACTTGGGAAGCCTGTTCCGGTCTACCAAAGGTCATTTCCCCCACCTCTGACCGAAGGGAGTTATGGGTTTCCAGTTAACATATACCTGTGGCACGTATCAGCCTATCAAGGCCGTGTTTGCCTCCAGGTCCCCTCAGTCCCCACCCACAGGCACTTGCTGTATATAACTCAAAGCCCCATGCTAGCTTCCCTTCCCTCCCCATGGCTACTCGCCCTCCCAGCTGCTCTCACTGTGCATCTCCCATTGCAGGTCCAGCCCAGTCTCTCACTCTGCTCCCTCTGCCCCGCTGTCCTGTCCTCTCTCACAGATAGCCCTGGCCGTGTCCGGTCTGCTTCTTTCTCTCTCTGCTCTAGACTCTTCCTAATCCCCCCCCATATTTACAATAAAACCTTCCCAGACCACGAACACCCCCTCCCCCGTGTGAGACTGTTTCTTAGCGGTGGGGCTGGTTGGCTAACATACGTCCACCCCCGCTTCTCCAGCACTGGGATCCCAGGAGTGCAGCGCCACACCCGGCTTTTTACATGGAGACCAGACTCAGGTCCTTGTGTTATGTGGCAAATGCTCTGCCTGCTCCGTCACTCCGGCTCTGCTCTCTCTTCCTAGCAATTCTAGTTTGGATCTTAAATGCCCCCAGCTTTGTGTTAGTTAACTGGAGACCATGGACCCTTCAGGAGGTAGAGCCTAGAGGGAAGTCTTAAGATCACTAGGGTTGTGTCTTTAAGGTGAATTGTGGGACCCAGCCTGTAGGTTCTACAATAGGCGTTGGCTATGGTATGTCCTTCCCAACCTCAAGGCCCAAAAATAGCATCTCCTACCGTGCCTGAAGCTTCCAAGACGTGAGCCCAAACTTTGCTCTCTATAATCTGGTCGCCTCAGGTGTCGGTTGCAGCAGGGAAGGCTGGCTAACACACTAGCAGAGGAGGAGCAGAGGGCTCCCGGCTCAAAGGCTCAGTATTTTGTCAACTGATCATTCGTACAGTTTTCTGCTGCACCTTGCTCATGCCCATGTCCTGGCTTTCTCTATGGAGTTCTAAACACAAGTTGGTTTGGGGACATTGTGTCAGGTGTGTGCGCACACATGTGCACCCGAAGACATGGCCAGAATCCCATCTGCTGAGGGACTTGAACATATGGGATGCTGACATCGGTGCAGGATCAGGAAGAGCCTCCTTGGTCATCCAACTAGAGAGAAGACTGTCTGCCACGGTCAGAAATGGACAGCACACACCTTTAAACCTAGCACTTGGGAGACAGGGCCAATCTGGTCTATATAGCAAGTTCCAGGCCAGCCAGAGCTGCAAACTAAGACTCTGCCCAAAAACAAGAAACAAGAAACAAAAACAAACAAACCAAACCTAAGCAACAGCAAATAACTAGACCATGCTTATGTTTTTCACTCAAGATATATTTGCTCTGAATAGTCACCTCTGCATCGAACATTTTTACAAGACACTTGGCAACAATAAAAAGAGAACTCCACGGGCAGGGGGACACCGTCCCCCAATGCCCAACTCCAGGACATGAGGAAACACCACACACAGACATCGGCTGGTACATGGAATAAATACTAGGCACTCAGAACCACAAGCACGCGCACTCGGGAGGCAAGAGGGAGGCGGAGGGAAATCTTGTGCTATACTTGTACTCCACACTGGTCAGTTACAAAAATAAATAAAGAGTCAGGAGGTCTGGAGCTGGCTGTGCTCAAATACCACTCTTGGCGCCAGCCAAATTAACTTTCATCTGACAGCCTTTCTTCCCCCATCTTGGGAAGCTGGGGTACCTGGCTGGAAGGCTCGACTCTACGTGACTGGTCTTTCCTGCTGCCCTGGGCACAAGTCGGCCTGATGCAGGATCGATCTTCCATGGAGATTACAGGGCTCTCTCTGTCTGCCCTGCCCCCTTCGTGGGGGATGGGGCAGAGGCTCCCTTCAGTAGGTGTGACAAAGGGAGGGAGGTCACTAGAAGCCAGCAGAGCGGGGGCTCCAGGCTGAAGGCACCCCGTGCAGATGCTTCTAGCCATGTACGTCTCTGCTTTATGAAATTCCACTTGCCATTCTTTGAGTGCCCCAGAGGCTGCAGGCCCTGGGGAACAAGCTTCTGCTGTGAATGTCGGTTTCTGCTGCACCCCAGACTGCTCTGCAGTGATCAGGTACACAAGTTCCTTTGGGTCAGTGCGTGCATCAGCAGGTCTTGGTGTGAAGGTATAGAGGGACCATTCTCAGACCCAGCCCTGGCCCCAAGCTCACCATCATGGAACACAGATCAACCCCACCATGGGCCAACCCCTGGCTCGTCCCTCCTCTGTCCTGAGTGAACAAAGTCTAGCCTAGCTGAGCAGGGCAGACCCACAAGTGATGGCTAGGAGGTCTCCCCAAGGGTGGGGCAGTAGGGCTGGGCTCTCATTGGGAGTTCCTGTCTCCTGCCTACAAAGGCTTCTTGGATCCCCAGGTCCCTCACAGGATGCCTTTCTAAAAGGAGTCTCCTAGCAGCAGGCAGAGAAAATTCAGGAAACACGGTGAGTGAGATCTCCGACTCAGGCAGGGTTGTGAAGCTTCTGATAGCAGCGTGACAGACCTCAGGTGACTCAGCATGAAGAGAATGGACAGGGACACGTTGGTAGCCCCTCCTCCAAGCCAGCGGTTCTCTGGTGGGGCACATCCCCTGTGTGGGGACATTTGGGTCATCTTGGGAGATGGTAGAAGTGCCATCTGGTGGTTCAAAGGCCGGGATGATGCCCCAAAACACCTGAGACTTTGAACATGAGTGATGCCTTTGGGGACACCCTGCTCCAAGCCCGCCCAGCAGGAACATTCTGGAACACCTCCAAAGACCCTTCCTTACTGGGTGCAGAGGAAACCCAAGAGGCCTCTCCTGTATGGATGAGGAAGGAACAGAGGAAAGACAGGACAACAGGGCCAGAGGCCACCTCTACCCACTCACAACCCCAACTCCCAAGAAGGGGGAAAATCCCAGACTTGGGCAATCTTTGGTCAAACTGGAGAACATAAGGCTGAGATGGGATCTTCTCTACCCCAACGGCCAAAGTCAAGAGCATGGCCCTCTGCGCTGAAGTCCATGCTGGTCCTCAGACGCCAGGAATCCGGTGCTGGGCTGCAGGAGGGAAGGGGGGGGTGACAGCAGGGTGCCCGGCTGTTGCAGCCCTCACTTGTTCTCGATTAGAATCTGCACTTTGTGCACAAGGTCCCGGGCTAGCTGGAGAATCTGCTTCGAGCTGTGCCGCTCAGCCATTTCTGAAAGAAAAGAGATACCCGTGAGCGGCCTCGAGTGTCAGCCCTGGGGGAATCCTCCAGCTCCTGCTGTGAACTCTAGGGTGTTCCCACCATACGGTGACCCTGGGAGGAGTTGCACGCCCACAGACCTCAGTTTCCCCACCTGCAAAACGAGGACTGCACCAGGATGTCACTGGGCAACACTGTCGTGGGAACAGAAGGAGATGATGCTGGCTCAGGGTGGGCTAGGAGAAGGCTGGCCCTTCCCCTCTTCCCTGCAGGCAGACTGTCTGCAGATACTTTACAAAGCCTATGCCAGGCCAGGCAGGGAGGTGCGCACCTGTCAACCCAGCACTGGGGAAACTGAGGCAGGAGGATTGAGAGATAGAGGCCAGCCTGGGCTACACAGCAAGACTCTGTCTGGAAAACAGAAGGTAGTATCAGGCATGTGGCAGATATGTTTGAAGGTTCTGTGAGAATGAGGAGAGCAGTGGAGAGTGGGGAGGAGAGGGGGAGAAAGATCAAGCTCTTCAAAGCTTTGTCAACAGCAGGACAATTTTAAGCTTGACTTCATTTCCTAAAGAAAAACAAAGAAAAAGCCAAGGCCACAGTTTTTAAAGCAGCTGCTGAGGTACCCCCCAGGGCTCCCAGTGAACTCTCGGGGCATTGTGGGATTCGCAGTCATTAGGAGGGTGCCTCAGCGGCTCTCAGCAGCTGTCAGCTCCACACACACGCTGCTGGCCACAGCGAGTTCACCATCCTACAACCTTCCAAGCAGCGTTCAGTCTACACAAGGCCAGGCTTTGGGGGGATACAAAGCAAGGACTACATGAAACCCGCAGGAAGTGGGAAACGAGGGTGGTGGTAACCTCATCATGAGGCAGAGCTGTGCGCAGCCCGACGGTGAGTCCATGAAGGGAGGGGTGAAGGGAAATGGGGTTTCCTTCAGGCTGCGTGTGTCAGGTAGTCTCTGAGTGGTGAGGGTGAAGGTGTCACGAGGTTTGGACCTCACTCCTTAAGAATGGGAACTGTGGCCTGTACGGGGTACATACTGCAGAAAGGTTAGGGGTACCCTGGGCTGAGGAACCATGGGGAGCTGGGGATGTTGAGGCTGGAGGATTGCTTAGGGCCTTCTATCATGCTTTTGAACAGAAACAAGCTAGAGATCTAACAACAAAGGATGCTCAGTAAGTTACAGGATCGGCACACGGGTGCAGACTGCCACCCTGGAAAAGTCAAAAAGTCTTTGAAAAAGTAGATAGAGCTGGATTCCATGACTTCAACAACAGAAAATTAGCAACCATGGAAAAGAAGAGATAGATGAGTAGGGGCTGGGGGCAGGATCTTTCTTTCATGGCTCAGGCTGACCTTGAACTCATTATGTAGCAGGAGCTGACCTTAAACTTTCCGATCACTGGAGATTCTTGTTTTCAAATTTAATTTAGTTTTTGGAGGATTTTATACATGAAATATTTATATAACTCCATGCCTCAAGCTACCCCTACAACTACTCCTGTATGCCCCCTTCTTTTCAAATTCATGACCAAGAATAACTATTATTATTCCATGTGTGTGTGTATCCTGTCAAGTCCATTTGTATACATATGTGTTTAAGTCTGATCACTTGGGACTGGGCATAATCTATCAGTAGGGCTCATCCCCAGGGAAGTCTTAATTCTCACACATTCTCTCTCAGCAGCCATTAACTGCCTGTAGCTCTTCACTTAGAGGCTGGGCATTGCTTTTGGCTTGTCCACAGGTGCTGCTGTCATTGTTCTGGTCTTGTGTAGGTGACCAATTCTTTTAGATTTCGTGAGTGCAGCTCCCCTATCATACACAGAAGATGCTATCTCACAGCAGACATCCTGATCCTCAGGCGGGGAAAAAAAAGCCTTTAACAAAATCCAACATACCTTCATGTTAAAAGTTCTAGAGAGAGTAGGACTGGAGGGGACATAACTGGACATAAAGATTACGCCCAACAAACCCACAGCCAGCATCATCCTAAGTGGAGAAAAACTCAAAGCAACCCTGTTAAAACAAGGAAGGAGACAGCGAGGTCCACGTGCCCCACTCCTTTTCCATAGGTGCTTTAAGCACTAGCTGAGTTAATAAGGCAAGAAGTGGAGAACATTAAAGGGATACAAACTGAAGAAGCCAAACTGTTTCTATCTGCAGATGACTCGATACTGTATACAGAAGATGCTAAAAATCCTACCACAAGACTTCTAGAAATGATCAGCACTTTGGCAACGAGACAAAATACAAAACGGATGTACAGAGATCAGTAGTCTTCCTATTCAACAACAACTAACCTGAAAGAGATCATGAGCACGCTCCTATTCATAACAGCCCCAAAGAAAATCAAATATCCAGGAATAAGCCTAACAGGTGAAGGACCGCTCTGGTAAAACCCTTTAAACCTCTAGGGAAACACTGAGAAAGATACAAGAACATGGGAAGACCTCCCATGCATGTGGATTAGTAAAGTTAAATTGTGAAAATCAGAACTCTATTAAAAGCAATTTATAGACTCAGTGCAACCCCAGTCAAAATCTCCATTTCATTCACAGAAATAGAAATGTTCTAAAAACCCGTAAGGAAGCCCAAAAGACCCTGGATAGTCAAAGCAAACCAGATCAGAAAGAACAAGTGCTGATGGAATTAACATTCCAGCTTTCAGGATATATTACAGAGCCACAGGAATAAAAAGAGCACACAGTCCTGCCACAAAGGCAGACGTAAAGCCAATGGAGCAAAGCAGGAGACCCAAACACGAGTACAGGTAGCTACGGCCAGCTGGTAGTTAATAAACACACATCTGAGGAAGAGTGTCTTCAGTACTCGCTGCTGGGAGAACTGTGTGTCCATGGGCAGAAGAGTGAAATTAAACTTGTATCCCCCTGCACTCAAACTAACTAACTCCAAATGGATCAAAGACCTTGTGCTGGATAGTTTTGTGTCAGCTTGACACAACCTATAGTCATCCTCAATTAGGAAAATGCCTCCATAAGACCTGGCTGTAAGCAAGCCTGTGGGGCATTTTCCTTATTCGTGATGGATGGACGAGGCCCCTCTGGGGCTGAGCGAGCAGTGAGGAGCAAGCCAGTGAGCAGCACCCTCCATGGCCTCTGCATCAGCTTCCGCCTCCAGGTTCCTGCCCTGCTTGAGTTTCCGTCCTGACATCCGTCCTTTGATGAGAACAGTGACGAAGTGGAAGTGTCAGCCAAAGAAACCCTTTCTCCTCCCTGAGTTGCTCTGCATGGTGTTTCATCAAAGTAATTGAAAGCCAAACTAAGACAGACTTCAGTGTGAAACTTGGAAACTGTCAGAAGAAAACACAGGCAGACCCCTGCAGGACGCAGGTGCAGAAAAAGGCTTTCTGAATAGATTCAGTTGCTTAAGGATTAAGGCCAACAGCTGACAAACCTCACAAAACTGAAAAGCTTCTGCACAGCAAAGGAAACAGCCACTTGAACGAAGACGAAAGCCACAGAGTGGGAGGGAATCTTCCCCACTCAGCTACCCGACAGAGAATTAGCAGCAAGTATATATAAAGAACAAAACAAACAAAAAAGACTCGGGAGAACAAACAACCCAATTAAAAAAATGTGCCAGAGAACTGGACAGAAAGTTCTCAAAAGGAGAAATAAAAATGGCTAAGAAATATATATATATATATATATATATAGATATAGATATAGATATAGATATATAGATATATAGATATATAGATATATAGATATATAGATATATAAAATCATCCTCATCCTTAGCAATTAGGGACATGCAAATCAAGACAGCTTAGAGCTCCCTTTCATTCACCCCCCTCAGACTGGCAAAGATCAACAGACAACAAATGCCGGCAGGGATGGGGCGAGGGCTCATTCGCCCGCTGTCGGTGGGATTGCAAAACCGGCCCAGCCACTCTAGAAACCAGTGAAGAGAATTCTCAAATCCCTGAAAATAAGCGGCCCTGTGACTCAGCTGTATCACTCCTTGGTGCACACCCAAAGGACTCAACATCCACAGAGGGACTCGGCTGTGCTCTTTGCTGCTCTGTTCACAATAGCTAGGAAACGGAAGCAACAAAAACCCTCTAGAACTGATGAAGGATTAAGGAAAATATGATACTTCTGATCCTCTTGCCTTTATTCCTAGGGTGGGAACGGCAGGTGTGTACTGCCACGCCCGGGTTACGTGGGTGTGGGGGTTCCAGGTTTCTTGCATGTTGTGCAAGTACTCTATCACCTGACTCATCCCAGCTCAGGTCAGGACAGCTTTTGTATTATTATTATTATTATTATTATTATTATTATTATTATTATTATTGACTGCACTGAATGCGGCTTCCTGGTTGGTTTCTGGTGCAGGGGAAACTCATGAAGTCTGCCAATGTTAATGTCTTAGTTTTGGTGTCAAACATCCCAGAAACATGGAAAGCAGCAAAAAATGATGGACGCTTTGTAGTCTTCGTGGTGAATAAAAAAACAGTCCTAAAGGTAAAATTTTAGTAGATGACTAAAATCCAAAATTATCCCAAAAGAAAAAGCTGACTTGCAAATGCTAGCAATCTTTCCAAGATGGGTCCCAGGTGGGTTTCTTCTTTTCTCTAGAACCTTCTTTAGTCTTTATGTTTTGGGGTGAAGCCCAGGGCCTAGCGCTTGCCAGTGCTCTATGATGGAACCGCAACCCAGACCTAGTGTTTACTACTTAACTAGTGCATGGGGACAGCTACCTATGAACAGCTTTTTCATATCTCATCATTAATTCTCTGGACTTCCCTTGAGGGAGGAGGTATTTGCAGCATATTTTTTTCCCCTGAAGAACTGAGGCCCAGAACCTGACGCCATTTAGACAAGGCCACCCCCAGTAGCCTGCTGAGACCAGATCCATTCCTGGCCCCTCTTGAGTGCATTCCTGTGCCAGGCTTTCCCTACCCCGTGAACTCCAGCGAGGCAGAGCCTGATATTTCACAGATGATAAAGTAGACGTTCAGAGATGGCGCGGTGCCCTGCCATTGAGCACAGCTGGCCAGTGGCAGAGCCAGGGGCTGCCCCCCAAACCTCCAGCCTCGGCCTGGAGAAAAACACAGCTGGCGGGTGTTGAGATACCACCAGGTCCCTTGATAGAGTGCTAAGCGGGTACAGGGGGCTGGGGAGACCTTTAGTGGGTAAGGACACTGTGCAAGCAGAGGACATGGGTTCAGGTCCCAGCACCCAACGTGAGCTGTAGTCAAGCACTGTGGAGGCAACAGGAGAATGACTGGGGCCGGCCACGCTGAGCCCCGCCCCTGGGCAGCCCCTCTCCTGGCAGCCCCGCCCCCGCCCCGCCCCTCGGTACCGTTGAAGAACTTGATGATGTCAGTGAAGTCCATGTTGTTCTCCAGGATGATGTCTCGGTAGACCTCCACCAGCGCCAGCGCGATGAACAGCACGTAGTGGGCGGAAGACACGTGCTTAGCGGCCCAGATAGTCTCCCACACGGAGAAGACGTCATCATAGACCAGCTCTGCGGGACACCGACACACGCGCATGGGAGCCGGTCCAGGACAGGGCAGAGCCTGTGCTCCCCCCAAGCATTCCTGCCCCAGACCAGGTGGAAGCCAGGCCTGAGTTTCCCCATCTGTGGACAGGGTCTAAGGTTCCTAAGAAGCTCAGCATGTGCGGGTTTGGTTGGCATGAGCCTGTCCCTCCCTCGCCCTCTGCTACTGTCCTTCCTTTCTCTTTAGCAGCATTCATGGCTGGCTTTCAGTGGCCTGTCCATGAGCAAGCTGGCAGCTGCCTCAGCCTATCAAAGAGATGGAAGAGCCGTTAAGCTAGCGGTTCTCCGTGCCACAACCCTTTAATACAGTTCCTCATGTTGTGGTGACGCCCACACCATAAAATTATTTTTGTTGCTACTTCATAATTTTGCTACGGTTATGAATCGTAATGTAAACATCTGATATGCAGGATTGTATTTTCATTGGTACAAACTGAACAGAAGTAAAGTATCGTGCTTAATAACAAAAAATGTGTAATTATATATTGTGAAATATTTATTTTTCACTACAAATCAGTGAAATTTTGTCTTGAAGCCTGGTGTAGCACGGGTTACAGTCTTACTATAACATCAGTGAACTACATTGCTACATCTTGCAGCAGTATGCAGAAAAAGCCAACATCAGTGCCAACATTGAGATTGCTTCTTCAGTTCGTTCCTAAGTGTTTTCAGATGGTCTTAGGCAACCCACGTGAAAGGTCCATTCAACGCCCCCACCAAAGGAGTCACAATCACAGGCTGAGAACCACTACCCTAGGAGCAAGGCTACCGAGTCCGATTAGCTGGCTTTGAGTCCTGCCCCTTCACTAACCTGCCAGGGCTGTGTGCGGCTGCCACCCCCCTCCGGCCTCTCTGCCCTTCAGCTTTGCATGGGGCCTGCTGGTCACCGTGAAGGCCCAGAGATGAGGTGCTCAATGGTGCTCCCTGCTGCCTGTGTCATTAGCATTGCCACGCAGAGCAGGTGCTCCCAGCCCCACCCCAGGTTTGCACAGTGGCCTGCATTCAGAGGACACATCCCTTCAAAGTCCAGGGTGAGATGTTTGCCTGAAGTCCCCACAGCTCCAGAGGTTTTGGTCTGTGCTAAGCAGGGGTCCCTCTGGGGGGAGGGACCTGCCCCCAGAGACGATGGAACCAAGGCTGGATCCTGGCTCCTCTCTTCCTAGCTTCTATCTGACTTCCTAGTTTCCTCAAATGGGAAACAGGAATCTGTGTGTGTGTGTACGTATTCATGTGCACATGTGTGTGCCTGAGACAAAGTCCCTCACTGAGCCCAGATGTCACCGATTTGGCTGGGCGGGGTGGGCAGCCAGCTCTGTGGTCAACCCCCCTCTGCCTCCCCCCAGCACTGAGTCAGAAACATGCATGACTGCACTTGGCTTTTTAAATTCCCTAAACCATTGATGAAGTTAGTGGGGGAGGGGCACATGCCCCAGCACCTGGGTGGAGGTCAGAGGACAACTTGTGGGAGTCGGATCTCTCTTCCGACCGAGTGGGTTCCGAGGACCAAACTCAGGTCATCAGGCTTGGTGGCAAGTGCCCTTAGCGTCCTGCTAGCCCCCATACCTGGCCTCTTCTGTGGGGGCCGGGGATCTGAACTCAAGACCCTCCTGTCTGAGCACTTTAATGATGAAGCTGTCCCCCAGGCAGAGATTTTACGGCCTCTACTGCAGAGTTACTCTGCGATAAGGCACTGGCCAGGATGGACTGAGTAAGTCCTCTCTTCTGCCACCTTTGCTCCAGTGCTGTTCACCCTGTATCCTCCCAGTCCCCATCATCCTCACCCCAGAAATTTCCCTACGAAATGTATGCGGACAAGGCCCCTGACGGAGTCCGTACCTCGTTTGAAATCCAGCAGGAACCATCGGTAGCAGAAGTAGAAGTGGGTGTAGTCCCCATTCTGATGCATAAGCTCGAAGAGCTCGGAGTCCAAGATCTGTGGGAAGGAGGGCTGGCCCGTCAGTCCCCTGGGAGAGGGGTGGACCAGAGGGGACAGCGCGCCCCACTATGCTGCGCACTGGGCAGCTCTCAGCGGCTGGGCACAGCTAACAGTTAAGAGTGAGAAAAGATACATACCCTCTTACCCACTAGGATGGTGAAAACGAAGTGACAGACAGTAACAAGTGTTGGCAAGGATTCAGAGAAAACAACTCTCATGCATGGCTGCTGGGAATACAGAGGCCTGCAGCGGCCGCCTCCACAGCCCAAGCCCTGGGCTTACACCACCATGCTTGCTTTTCACAAGGGTTCTGGGGATCCGAATGCTGGTCCTTTTCTTGTGCTCAGCTACATCTCTAGCTCTTTCCGAGTCTCTCTCTCTCTCTCTCTCTCTCTCTCTCTCTCTGTGTGTGTGTGTGTGTGTGTGTGTTGGGGGGGTTTAAAAAAACGTGTCAATTCTCTCCTTGTACCTGTGGGCTCAAGTGATCAAACCAGGGTCAGGGTCATTGGGTTTGGCAGCAGCCACTTTTACCCAGAAGCCACCTCACAGGCCCTGATTCCCCTACCCTTTGTATTCAAAATATGAGGTGGCTTTTGTTAATTTGCACCAAAGCAGCAGCAAGAGCTACCTTGTGCTTGAGAACTCCCTGCAGCATCTATCTCCAGGCGGCACGGATTCACCTGCAGAGCTCAGCCTGGCCGCTGGGCCCGCCTCTTATAGACTCTGGTTGGCAACAAGGGGAATGCAAACCAAAACAACAATGAGATTTCATCTTATCCCAGTCAGAATGGCTAAGCTCAACAGAACAGCCAACAACACCTCCTGGCCAGAGTTGGAGAGGGGCACGCTGTTGGTGGGAGTGCAGAGCAAACTGGTTGCAGCCAACTATGGAAACCAGTGTGGAGAACTCTCAAAGGGCTAAAAATAAATCTAACTCACGACCCAGCTATACCACACCTTGGCATATGCCTGAAGGATTCAACCGCGTACTCCGTAGACATGTGGTCAGCGTGCCCGTTGCCGCTCTATTTACAATCACTAGAAGACCGGACACAACCTAACGTCCTTCCAACAAATGGGTAACGGAAATAGATCACATATGCACTCTGGGTACCATTCAGCTCTACGGAAAAATGAAATCCTGAGCTTTGGCGGTCAGTGGATGGAACTAGGAAAGATCGTATTGAGAGAGGTGACCCAGACTCAGAAAGGCAAACATGGTGTGTTCTCCCGTCTAACTCTCCACTCCCCTAGCTCCAAATCTTCAGATGTGAGCACACCGCTTCTAGTAACTGCAGAACAGGGAAGCGAAAGGGGACCATCGCCAGGTAGGGAGGTCAGGAAGAAACAGAGAGGGGAGCCGTGGGGTACTCTGAAGGGGGAGTTGGGGACCTCCAATTAGAGATGGCGAGGGAAGTGAATACGGAAGGAGGAGGGTGAAATAAAGCAACTCTGGATGGAGAAGTCATGAAGCGTCACACTGCTAACGAGGTGCCTGTGCGTGCGGGCACCCACCTATGTGCAAGCACCCTACGGGGCGAGCCACACCCTCAGCCCGAAAACTGCTCAATCTGAAGCCATTCGGCTGCCCTCACTGTCTCTCCTAACGACAAAGCAGGAGCCCCCCCTTGCCCCCTCGGGTCCTACCCCCTCGGGTCCTACCTGGATCAGTGACCTCATGTTGGCAAAGTGCGTGTCCATGGCGCCTCCATGGGGGAAGTTTTGGTTCATCCTTTTCATGAGCTCCGTGAAACAGCTGAAGGCCAGGGCCTCTGGGGACAGATAAGGGGTTAGCCAGGCCACTGCCTCAGGCCCTGGAGCTCCTGAAGAGCTCACAGCGTAAGGCCCACAGCAGGATTCAGGGCCGTGTGAGGAGCAGGTGGGCAGGAAGGGCCCGGTGGAGGCCACTCCCTCGGGTGCTCACCACCTGTTGGTGTCACAGATCTCGCCTTAGAGGAACCAGGAGCAACAGCTTTCTCTAGACACAAATCCTCCTTTTAAAGGTCCCCACTGGCTGTGACGAAACATCCACACTGTTTTGTTGGTCCCCATCTCTCTCTTTCTCTGTCTGTTTCTGTCTCTCTCTTGCTCTCTCTCTCTCTCTCTCTCTCTGTGTGTGTGTGTGTGTGTGTGTATGAGTGTTTGTACAACTTGTGGCAGTTGGTTTTCTCCCTTCACTATGTGAGTCTCAGGAATCAAACTCAGATCATTAGGCTTGGTGACAAATGCCTTTATCCGCTGATCCACCCTGCTGCCATGGCTGGCATTCAGATGGGTTCTACCACGTAGATGGTAAACGACAACACTCCCAGCCAACACCAAGCCTTCCAGCTGTGGTGGGAGACTCCTCCCTCTTTAGATTTCTCTCCTTCTGTCCAACAATATTTTATGGTGTGAAACACATAAACCACCCTTTAGAGGCATTAAAAACCCTTCATTCCTCAGGCGACATCACACATGGATTTGTTTTGTTAATTTCACATTAGGATTGTCCAGCTCAGCTGTATAGATATACAAGATTTCTGCCTTACTGATCTTACGTTCTACAGCCCTGACAAACTCACTTGTTCTGTTTTTTGTTTTTTGGGTTTTTTTTGTTTTTTTTTGTTTTTTTTTTTTTGGTTCATTTTGTTTTGTTTTTCTGAGACAGGGTTTCTCAGTGTAGCTTTGGCTGTCAAGGACTCAATTTGTAGACCAGGCTGGCCTCAAACTCACAGAGATCTGCCTGCCTCTGCCTCCTTGAGCACTTGTTCTGTTTTCTTATTCTTTGGATTTTCACCTTAAGGTCATATCATCTGCAGCCAGGACCCATAGATCATTTTCATTCCTTTCCCATTCTTTTTTTCTTTTTCCTTCCCCCCCTCACCCCTTTTAACATTTTGAGACAGGATTTCATGTGGTCCATGCTTGCCTCAAGTTTACTTCGGTCAAGGGTGACTTTCAACCTCTGATCCTCCCGCCTCTCCCTCTGGAGTGCTGGGACCACAGGCATGGTTACCATGCCCTGCCTGTCTTTTATTTTCCAGTGCTGGCTTATAGTGATTGATGCTTGGATGTTGAACTGTCCTTGCATTTCTGGGATAGGTCCCACCTGGCCATGCTGTATTATCCATTATATCTTGCTGGATTGATTTTGTTGATTTTTTTTTTTTTTTGGAGAATTTTTGCGTTCATATTCATAAAAAGTACTGGTCTGAAGTTTCCCTGTAATGAGCCTGTCTGGTGTAGATATCAGGGTATGTGTGAGATACTCAGCCTTCTTGATGGTGTCAGGGCTGGCACCATCAAGTGGGGTGGTACCACCCACAATTTACCTTCCTTGCTTTTCTTTTCATCTCTCTTTCCTTCCTTCTTCCCTCCCTCCCACCCTCCCTCTCTTCATACACCATCTGGTAGACCTTGTCCAGGGACGCCATCTGGACCAGGTTGTCCTTTGTTTTCATTCACGGCCAAGCAGGGGCTCACCACAGCCAGGTGGGCCTCAGTGCAGGGTACTGTGGAACCCCCTGTGGGAGCCAAGGATGCCGTGTGCTCCTGGAGCTGGGATGTTTTCCAGGCAGGCCTGCTGTGCACCCGTCCTGACCCGGTCCATGGAGACACAGGTGAGGCTGACCCTCCCCCTCCCACAGGCAGGAAGGACGCACTCACCATCATCCAGGATGACCAGCAGTGGAGCCAGAAGGTCGCACATGCCCTGGACGTAGCCGACCTCAATGTGCTGCCAGATGTAGCTGCAGGAGGAATGGGACTCAATGAGGGCACCACGCCCTGCACCCCGATCGGCCTGTCCCCTCCCGGGCTGCTTTCCCACCCACCCCTTGAGTCTTTCTCCAATCTGGTCCTCCATCCCTCAGCCTGATGCCCACCCTCAGTGTCACCACACATCTGAGGGGCAGCCATCAAGGGTAACCCTGCGGGAGAGGGTGTCACAGAGCATAGGTCTCAACAAGTGCCCCACCACCCCGTGTGGTCATGGATGCTTGCGGTCAGCACATCTTCAACTCCTCCTCCCCTCCTCCCTACACAGCTCTTCCAAGGGCCTCTTCTTTGGCTAGATGGAGGCATTCGCTTGGCACAAGTAAGTGAGTCAAAATCTCCAGGGATTTTTCCATACTGATCCCCTCTGTCTGTCTGCCCAATATTTGGATCAGTCCCTAGGAATCATAGCTTTGGCCCACCAAGCCTGACCACATACTCAGTCCTTCGGGCACCTCAAGTCTTTAAATCCTCAGAATGATCATGTGAGGTAAGTCTCCTTAAGATCCCGTTTCTTAGGCACAGAGAGGCCAAGGTCGCGTCCAAAGTCAGTGTGATAGTTCTAATTGTCATGGTGGGATGAGAGTCTCAGTAAAGGATTGTCTACATCATGTTGGACAGTGGACCTGTCTAGTGGTGGCACCGTCTTGATGCCCACTGTGGGGGGCACCATTCCTCAGGCAGGGGTACTGGCCCGTGTATGTGTGCAGGGAGCTGAGCATAAAGAAGCACACATGCATTTGTTCCCTCGCTGCTCTTGACTTTAAATTTGACATATATCATGACTGGCACTCCAGGTCGGTGTGGAACAGGAAACAGGAAACAAAGCAAGCTTCAGCCAGACTTCCTGTAGTCCCCTCTGTCCCAGCACCATCCCTCCCTTATCCACATCCTTTCCATCTTCCATCCCCTCCATCCCCATCTCTATCACTTCCATCATCCTATCTCTCCCATCAGCCCACCTTCCCTTTCCCTATACCCGGTCACCTTATCTCCATTCTCTTCATCCCCAGCCCCCGCATGGGCCCTCCCCCTCCGAGGACACCCTCCTCACCTCTGTGCCCCAACCCCCCTGCCACAGACACCTGCACATAATGTTTCTCAGCTTCTCCAGGTTAGCGGCTGTGAAGTACCAGTAGCTGCGGTCGCACCTCTGCACGTCTTTCTCAATGCGGTGCAGGTTCACTGTGTACAGGTCCAGCAGCTCTGGCTGTGGGTGGGAGGAGGAAGAATGGGACGCTGACCCCATGGACAGCTCCCAGCCCTCACCTCCCAACTGCCTACTCTGGAGTTTTGTTTTCTTCCTCTGTGTCCTGGGAAATCTATTTTCACTTTGCATGACGAAAAAGTATTCTTTTGAGACTGGGTCTCATAAGGTAGCTTGAGCTCATAATCCTCCTGCCTTAACGCCTACAGTGTTGGGATTTCAGGCAGGTGTGTGTGCAGAGAGAGAGAAAGCTGTATCAGAGACAAACTATTAAACATATATTTAATGCATTTAAAGGTGATACAAATGTGTCACCTCGGTGCTCAGGAGGCTACGGCAGGAGCATTGCCATGAGTTTGAAGCTGGTTACAGAGTGAACTTAAGGCCAGCCTGAGCTGCATATAAGAAATGAAATAAAACAAAAACACAGAGGCTAGCAACAGGAGCCAGAGTCCTCAGAGTCTGGGCGTGACCTCACAGCATATTTGGAAAAAAAAAAAAAAAGTAACATTAAAGATGCGTTCAGCTTACATGGAGCACACAGAGCAAGAGTAAACATCTTGTTGCACTCAAGATCAAACCCCGGATGAGGCACAGGCCAAGCTGGTCAGACACTGGGCTCCACTCACAGGTCCAAAAGTAGACACCGCTGAAGAGAGAGTGAGTGAGCTGGAGAGAACCAGAGGGCAAACCCAGGACCCAGCGGGAAGAAGAACCATGAAGAAGGAAGCAGGGAGAAGCATGTAAGGTAACCCTGACGAAGCTCAAGGCAGGGGTGCAGGTGGACAGAGGAAATGTAGCAGCAGCCTAAGGAGCAAGGCGGAATTTTCCAGAACTGACTGGGGATACAACTGGCAGAGACACAAGGCCTGCCAATCCCTGCCCGGGAAATAAAAACATGCTTGCACCAGACACACGGTGGCTCACAGCGAAAAGAGAAACTTAGGACACGTACATGTACGTGTGTGTAAGCGTGTCTGTGTGCTTCTGTGCATCTGTGTGTCTGTATGTGTGTGTACATGTGTCTGTGCGCACGTCTGTGTGCATCTGTACGTGTGTACATGTGTCTAGGTGTGTGTGTTCATGTGTCTGTGTCTGTGTACACATGCGTCTTGTGTCTCTGTGTGCATGTGTATGTATGTGCTGTCTGTGTCTCTGTGTGTGTACATATGTGTGTATATCTCATATCATATATGTGTGTGTCTATGTATGCATGTGTGTGTTTGTGTCTAGTGCAGGAAGAGAGCTGAACATCAGATTTAAAGTCTGCTTCCTACAGAATACATTCTTCACCACGATGAAGTGGAAAACCATGAACTGAACCACCCTATTCCAGGGGACATGTGTACTGAGCCAACATGGCAGCCACGCGGCCCTGCACCTGAGTTAAGGGATGTGGCAGGAATGAGGGAAGGACTGTCACTGTGGGTGAACATGCATGGGGGAATCTTCCTAAGATTCTCCAGCAGCTGGGAGATGGCTCAATCAGTAAAGTTCTTATCTGGCAAGCATGAGAACCCAAGTTCAGGCCCCAGCGTCCATGTAGAAACCCAGGCCTGGGGTCCCATGCTTGCTGTCCTGGAGCTGAGGAGGAGGGGTCAGGAGGATTCAGCAAGCAGACATGTGGTTTGCTGGCTGGCCAGCATGTCTGCATTGGCCAAATGCGGGCCAGTGAGAGGCACTGTCTCAACCAACCAACCAAACAAACAAACAAACAAACCAAGGATGGCTGCTGAGGAACTTCCCACAAGGGTGTCCTCTGGTGTTCGCTTATATCCTCATACACATGCAAAGGTCCCCACACCCAACACCAAAAACACAAAGCAAGAAGAAGCACAGACTAGGCAAGGTCCCAGCCCCGCCGCCTGTGACGTCACATGTGATGAGAAGCAAAACATGTGGAAGCCACTCCGGCATGCTACAACAAAACAAGGCCATAAACTAGGGAAAAGGAAAGGCTCCCAGGAGAGAAGGTATCGGGCCCTCTGGGTCCCACCCAACTCCGAGCCTCTGCACCAGAGAGGTGCGTCCATCCAGGGTAACGGGAGGGACTCATGCCTCAGTATTTCACCCTTTCCCCTCACCCATTCTGCCGTGCAACCTCTCTGCCATTGCCCACTCCCCGGTTCTGCTCCTGGCTGGGCTCTGCCACCCAGTTGGCTTTGGTGACGTTAGCGAGCTAGACTGAGCAGAGGCTTAAAATATACACGGGCCTGCTGGCTCTCTCTGCTTAGCACCCACCTTTGCCATGAGCACATGCCCAGGTGTGCCTGCTGGAAGACGAGACATAGACCAGCCCCCTGACGGCTGGCGTCAGAATGAGCCACACCCTGCCCAGCCTGGGGCAGGGCTTCCCAGATGACCCACAGACCTGGAGGTAAATGTAGGGCCCAGCGCAGGTTGGTAAAGTTTCTGATTTGGGGTAAATGGTTGTTACACAGCCTGGATGTGGTGCCAATGACTGATATATCATAATGAAAGGGGGTGTGTTTCTGAGCTCTGCTTTAGTCTGTTCAGCTAAAGTCTCTGAGGGCAGAAGTCGGTAGGCTGACCTCTGCCCTCTGCAAGGTCATTTCTGGAGAGGCTCCAGGGAACAGCTAGGAAGCTGAGGCTCTGGGAGGGGACTTATCCCAGCCAGGAGAAGGGATGGACCCAGACATCCCGGCTCTTAGCCCAGCAGCCCTTCCTGTGAGTGTCTATATCGACTCCTTGCTTTAGGGAGAAGAAACATCATGGCCAGCCTCACAGACAAAGGCTCCTGGTGACTTACAGAGTAGGTGACGCCACTGGAAGACACAGGTGATGCCTCATTGTTGGCAGAGGAGGTCACGGCCAGTGAAGCCAGGGCAGGGAAGAGGCTCTCCATCTCGGGCTCCTCAGACAGGTTGTCCTCACTGTCGGCCCGACTGTGCTTGCCTGCCTCGCTGGGCCAGCCCTCCATCACAGCTCCATCCTTCTCAGGCAGGGCCACGTCCAGGCTGCCGGGGATGGACATGAACTCCTCCATGCTCTCGTTGGCGAGAAGGTCACTCTCCAGGCTATCTTGCACTGCCAGCTCTTCCCGAGGGGCCTCGTCCCGGGAAGTGGTGGCTTCACTGCTCTGCCCATCTTCCACGCTGCTGTCCCCAGGTCGAAACACAGCAGGGAGGCTGCGCTGGGCATCCAAGACACTGTCTTCTGTGCTAAGGCTGGGCTCTGAGTGCTCCGAAAGGCCGGAGGAGAAGTTGTGGGAAGAAGGGTGGCCGGAGTCTGGGGAGCAAGTGCCATTTGCTGTGTTCCCATTGGAGACCTTGGGTTGTTTCTCCTCGGACCTGCCTTCTACCTCTGTCTGTTCTACCTCATCCACAGACTCAAATACCTGAGGAAAGAAAGGGACCCACAGTCATGCACGTCAGGATGGGCATTCTAACACAGTTTACAGCAGCAGCAGAATAACCAAAAACAGGATATTACAGTGTGGAGTTTGCATGTAGTGAAGTAGTATGCAGTGAGTACAAAGGCAGTATGATCTTTATGTCAATCAATAATCCAAATGCTGAGTTTATATCAGCAATTCACCTGGCCACCGCTGGCTCTGAGAAGGGCAACTAGAAAAATGAAGTTTGGGGGAGGGTGGCTTTCCACCATGCAGACTTCTAACACTTAGAAGATTTATTCGTGCTCTGTGTCCTTCAGCTATAGCCCTCAAGGTCACAGTAAAAATCAGGTGTCGTCACCATCACTTTCAATTCACTGGGTCTATCTTTGAGTTTTTGTGTGCAATGCTGGGACCTCTCACAGGCTGGGCATACCCACACACAAAGGGCTTTTGTTGTTGTTGTTGCTTTTTGTTTTGTTTTGTTTTTTTTTCACCCAGAAAGTAACATTTGGTGCATGAGGGTTTTTTTATACTTTTCATTTAAAAATAGTTATTTTATGATTTTATTTATGTGTCTGTGTGCATACACCCACACAAGTGCAGGTTCTCTTGGAGTCCAAAAGAGGGTGCCAGACCTCTCCTGGGGGTACTCCTGGTTGTGGGGCACCTCGGGTGGGTGCTGAGAACTGAACCTGGGTCCTCTGCCAGAGAGTTTGTGCTCCTGACCACTGAGCCATCACTCCAGCTTGGTTTGCGTTTTTCTTTTGGTTTAATGGGGCTCCAGATGGAGTTAACTTTTTGAGTGATAACAAAAGCTGCCGAAGGATACATCTGCTGGCATTTATGTGGGATTTTAAGAACTACCAAGTCTTGCTACATAGTGCCTATCTCTGTGTACATAAAGGCATCCAGAAGGTTCTGGAAGGCCATAGAGCAGACTGATGTTTCAATGGAGGACAGAGATGAAGGAGACAGAAATAAAGCTCAGGCCTGTGGCAGGCTCATGGTCAGCCTCTACATTCCCAGGGGTTGGGTCCAAGACTCACTCAATGCTGAGTGAAAATACCCACCCCCAACCCCATCCCCAAACCACTGCACCTGAATAGACCTGGCTTAGGCACTTGTCCTAGCAACTGACACAGCCTGATGGCTGTTTCCACACTGTTTGTACTGCACTGCTCTTGTGAGTGGTGTAGAGGTGATCTGAAGAATGCAGTGTCCTGTGCACACACTTGTCATTGTGCCCAAGGACTTGGATCCCGGGACACTGATGCCCGCAGGGCTTGCACCCCATCACTGTGGGTTTCAAGCAGGTTGCAACTGCCCATGCTATTAGGATAGTCCACTTCCAATGCTAGCCATAAAAGCCCAACACAGCAAAGTGGCTGATAAATGATGGCCATCCAATCCCTTTCAGCCCCAGGTGGGAGGGTGCAGCCTGTGTGGATGGGGTAGGACCTGTGGTGGGCGGGGCCTGTGTGGCTGGGGCGGGGCTTGGTCTGTGGCCTGTGGGGGCGGGACCTTGTAGCTGGGGCGGGGCATAAGGTGGTAGGGCAGAGCCTCTGAAGGTCACCTGTGTGCTGTTGCTGGAATCACTCTGCAATCGGAGGTTCTGGCGGCCTGAGCTGCAGCTCTGGGAGGACTGCGACAGAAACGAGAGGGACAGAAGGTCACACAAGGGGCTTTTGAGTTGGGAGCCAGGAAGCCTGGTTCCATCCCTTCTCCTGGCTGGGACAAGTCCCCTCCCAGAACCTCAGCTTCCTAGCTGCTCCCTGGAGCCTCCTCAGAGATGACCTTGGCCTCTGGGCCCCACCTGCTAGCCTCCCAATCGGAGCACCTCACCTTTCACTGCTGTGCTGAGCTTGAGAGCTCTGGCTAGGATTTGTACTCTTCCAGAGAAACAGGTGGGGCTCAGGTTTTCTGTCCTGTAACCTCCCTGCCCCTCCCCACTCTGACGCTAGCCTCTGCCCACTCTGCTGGCTTCAGCCAGTCTATGTTAGGCTGTTCAGCAGAGGTCTGCCTTAGCTACTGAACATTCTCGACAGCAGGTACTGGAGGGCAGACAGAGCACGGGGACCTGGTACACTGTCTTCCCAGGGCCACACCCACACTTCCACCCCTCCCACTGTGCCACTGCAAGGACTGAGCCCAGGGGAGAGACGCTAGCAAGAGACTCTGGATGGAATTCAAACCTAGATCTGACTCTAAAGTTCCCCCTCCCCCAAAACGCTAAAGGTGAGGCAGTCCCACCTAAAGGCCCCCTCTCACTGGCATTCTCCCAGGCCAGCTGCCCTTTACCTCGTTGCTGATGGTAGAGTCCCGGTGCAGCATCCGGTGAAGGTGGCTGTCCAGGCTAGCCCCCGAGGAGCACTTGGCCAGGGCAGCCGCGTGGGACTCCCTCTCCCTCTGTCTTACGATAGCCTCACAGCCCAGCCACTCCGACATGGTCTGTGCATAGCAGGCGTGGATGTGGTCGTCCACCTGCCAGCACATGGACAAGGTCACAGAAGGGGCTGAACTCCTTCCACACGTGTGTCAGCACCCAGCAGATACGAGCTGGCTGATGGCCTGTGTCCAACTCAGAGCAAGGCTACTTCATCCCTACTCTCCTCTCCTCTTTCCTTATTTTACTCGTTCGTTCATTTACACAACCGTTCAGCTGTTTGTTTGCCTGATTCCTCTATTTCCTCATTCATTTATTCATTTAATCCATTTCCTCATTAATTTCTTTTGATAAGTACCTATATTGTGACAGGCACCACGTTAGGCTCACAGATTACAAGGTGAGCAAAATTCTGCTATCCATCCACCCACGAAGTCACCCACCCACGCACCTATCCATCAGGGGAGGGCGCTCATAGAGAGGTGACAATACCAGAGGGGACAGCCACTGCTGGAGTTTCTCATTTTACTCAAGACTGAGCAAGCCTCCATTACACAACCCAGTAATCATGCTACCAGGCATTTCCCAAACACAAGACGCCAGCCCTGGATGTCATTGTCACAGAGCACCTATTAGCTATTCTTAGCCAAAAAGTGTAAATAAATGAAGGATGAAGGTTCATGGCATTGCCTAGCTCTCTCTCAGCCAATTCAGAGTGAAACTTCGGCATATGCACACGGGGGGGAGGGCATTATTCGGCCACTAAAAGGAAACAGGTATTAATGGAACAATTTGGATGGATCTAGAGATTCGTGCTGAATGAAAAAGCCAATTTCCAAAAATTTCATACTGAATGTCTCTGTTCATACAATGTTCTAGATATGAGAAAATTCTGAACATGGAAGACAGGTGAGTAGGAGCCAGGGGTTAGGGCTAGGGCGGGATGGAGTCAGGCATGGCTATAGAATGACGAGGCGACCAGAAATGTACTAGTCTCCACACACAGGGAAGTACAAGGCGACCAGAAATGTACTAGTCTCCACACACAGGGAAGTACGCACATGTACAGGGAAGTAAGTACACACATGTGTGCACACGTGGGCACACACACCAGCATGCACATGTGTGGGCACACACACACACACCAGTCAGAAGAAGATGGAGAGGCCTGAGAGAGGCGCTCTGTGATATCACAGTTCCACTGGAGGTCATCATGGGGAAACTGAGTAAAGGTCACACAGGTCTCCGCAGAGCTTCCTAAAATGCACAAGGGTCTATACGACCTCAAAACAGGAGGTCAGCTTATTCGAAAATTCCCTGGTGCTGGATTTCCACCACACAGCTCTTTGCTGGACGCTCTTGTCTCTTCCCTGTGTCTCTCACCAATAACACTGTAACGGGCAACCGGGACTCTACAGTGCCCAGGTGCACGGTGCCCAGCTGCACAGCACCCAGGTGCATAGCACCCATCTTCACAATACCGAGTTGTATAGTGCTTGGATGACAGTACCCAGGCCCACAGTACCCTGCTCCTTTCATTGCTCTCACAGGGGACCAACCTCCTTCCTCTCCGTCTCCGTCATCCCGAACTGGTAGTGGCCCAGGAGGAAGGGCCACACTGCCCTGCGGATCTCGGGCTGGACGCCCCCGTAGTAGATGAGTCTCAGCAGCTCCTGCTCCGGGTAAGTCTATGGGGGAGGGGCAGAAGGTCAACACAGAAGCCAGGGTGGCCTGCGGCCCTGTAGTCTTGTTTCTGTGGTGAGGCCCTGGTGTGGATAAGCAAACCCACATCTTTTGTGTCTGAAACATTCCCCCAAATGGCTGTGTTAGTGATGTGGTCCCTAGCTTGGCACTGTTGGAAGCTGGTGGGGCCTTGAAGAGGAGGAGCCTGTGTAGGCCTCAGGCCACAGTGGAGGATGGTGGCTCAGCTCCACAATAAGCCTTTCTCCCTGACTCCTTTGCCGTGTGTTCTGCTATGCTGTCCCGTGCTGCTACAGGCCACAGCAACACGGCCCATCACACTTAAATCTCCACAACTGTGAGTCAAGATAAGTTATTTTTTCTTATAAGCCTCCTAGTCTGGGAACTTGTCACAGTAACAGAGAACAACATCCCACAGGAACCTGTAATTACCCCTGATATCACAGGAGGCGCTAAACCCAACAACCACAGCTACCCACCAAATGGGGGACGTTGCCGGGTCGGGAGCCGAGTGGGGAGTTGTAAGGCATGGGGATTGATGTGAGGGCAGGCCAAAGCGTGAAGTGAAACAAAATGGAGAAAAAGAAAAAGAAGATGAGATCGTGTCTAGGATGAGCCTATTTTTCTAGGATGGCAGGTGTGGCGGAACATGCCACCACCCAAGCACTCAGAGCAGGTGAAGGTCATCTTCAGCTACCCAGAGAGTTTGAGGCCAGCCTGGGCCACATGAAACCTCATCTTAAAAAAAAAAAAAAAAAAAAGAAAGAAAGAAAGAAAGAGTGAGAGAGGAGAGGAGGGAGATAAGGATAAGAAGGAAGAGGAAAAAGAGGAGAGAGAAGAGAGGGGGAGGAGAGAGAGGAGAGGAGGGAGATAAGGATAAGAAGGAAGAGGAAGAAGAGGAGAGAGAAGAGAGGGGGAGGAGAGAGAAGAGGGGGAGGAGGCATGTGTCTATGGTCGTGCCTAATGAACTAGCATGCCCATTTAATTGTCCAATGCAATCTCATCTCCAGTCAGCTTGAAGAAAATTACCGTAAAGCAAAATAGTCCAAAGTGGACATTTCCAGCCACCTCTCAGTGTGGGCTTGGCTCTGTTACTTCAAGAAAAATTATGGCTGTAAGCTCTGCAGCTATGGTGCAGCCTTGGAAATGCTGACCACCCAGGCAGATAATGTCAGCACCTTTAGAAATCAGAAAATGGGTTGTGGCACGAAAGCAGAGTCTTTCAGAAATGACTTCCTTTCTTTTAACGGGGGGCTCTCAGGAAGAGCCCTCTGTACCTCGACTTTTTTCTTTCGTCTTTATTTTATGTGCATGGATGTCTGCCTGATGTATGTGAGTGCACCACGGGCATGCAGTGACTGAAGAGGCCAGAAGAGGGAGTTAGAACCCCTGGAGCTGGAGTTACGGCCAGTTGTGAGCTACCATGTGGGTGCTGGGAACCGAACCCAGGTCCTCTGAAAGAGCAGCAGTGTTTTTAACCACTGAACCATCTCTCCATCTGCTTTTAACCACCAAGCAATCTCTCCATCCCCACTAGCCTTTCTTTATGGCTTTTCTGATGAGTCATCTCAGGCTTCTCACTTCTTTTTGAGGACATTTCAGAAGTTTGAGTCTCTAGGAGTTTGTGAGTTTTGTTGTTCATTTGTTGGTAAACACATTTTCATAGTTTCCATATCCTCTTCCATTCCTTTGCCCGTGGAGCCTGTAGTGATGTCCCTTTGACTTCTGACTTCTTATCTGAAGGCCCTCCACACACACTGTGGTTCTAATTAAGAGGGTGTTTCCCAGCTTCGATGGTCTTGTCAATCAGCTTTATTTGCATTTCTGATCTCTATTCTTCTTTCTCTGTGTGTGTCTTCATTCTGCTCTGCTCACTATCCTTCCTCCTGCCTGTCTGCTTCAGGTTCACTTTGCTGCCCCATTCTCACCCCAGCATCCTAAGACAAAAGGGTTAGTTACTGATTTAAGATCTGTCTCTGTTTTACTTTATAGGTACAAAACCTGGATGTGTGTGTGTGTGTGTGTGTGTGTGTGTGTGTGTGTGTGTGTATTTTGTGTATGTGTGAATTCCTGCATGATGTGCATGTACATGCCTGATACCTTCAGGCCACCCAAGGATGGCAGATCTCCCGAACAGGAGTCACAGGCCGCTGTGAGTTGTCTGTGAACCAAACTCTGTTTCTTTCCAGCAACAGCAAGTGCTCTTAATCACTGAGCCGTCTCTCTAGCCCTGGGACCTTTGTAATACTAGGCTGTGCTAAATTTTAACATTTCTTGTTTGATTTATGGTCTTGGCTCCTGTTGCTTATAAACGCCATAACTGCAGTTACTTGCTAGAATGATGAGATGTTAGTAAAAATAGAAAATCCCACTTCCTGGACTCCTGGAGCCACTGGACTCCATTTCCCAGCCTTCTTTGCAGCTAGGTATGGCCATATGACAGTTTCTGGCCAATGGGGTGTGAGAAGAAGGGACGTGTCCCTTCCAGCTTCTCAGGAGAACTTGAGTACCAGGGGATGGCGGGTTCACAAGTAATTCAGGGGAAGAGAAAGGTGCACACACTGACAAAGCTCACAGAACTGCTCAGTGAGAAATAAAGCCAGTGTTTCCAGGCAACAAGATGGAGGGGACTGTTTGCTCCTGGGATTCAGTGCCTTAGGAAGCGGCTAAGCCTTGAGAAAGGGCTAAATGGTAGGGCAGTGGGGGTGGGTGATGTTACCTAAAGCCGTTTTAGCTTTTTTTTTTTTTTTTAACCTAATTTGACCTTAAATTGGTGTCTCCCAAATTGCATCACAGAAGCACTCTGCGGACTTTAGAAACACAGAGGCGGGCTCCTCTCCCAGAGACGCAGGCTCTGAGGAGCTGGAGCTGAGCCTGGAAGCCAGTCAGCCCACAGCTCCCCAGGAACCAGCAGGCTCGCACTGTGGCCGTGGGAGGCTGAGAGTACTCTGGCTTATCTATTTCAGGTTTTAGTACACAGCAGTCAACTTCTAGGAACGCATTCTCAAAATGAAGGCCAGCAGTATGGAGGGGCATGAGCTGGTGTGCTGCTGGCCGCCGCTGGAAATGATTCTTTAAAATGAGCCAAAAGGAAGCCCCGGGTGGGTGCATGTCAGCTAAGCCAACCCGGCATTAGGAAGGCTGATGTAGCAGGGTTGTCAGTTCAAGGCTAGCCTGGGCTATCTAGTGAGACCTCCTACTCAACTCAAGCAACAATACATTAGAAGAAGAAGAAAAAGAGATTTCTGTCAGCACGAATTTAAGTAAACTGCGGGCCATTCACGGGGTGCTGACTCAACATTTCCTCGAGACCTGAAAGCTTGAGTCTTCATTCAGGGGGCTATGAGAGTAAGCTGCTCACTGAAAATACAGAGTGTTAGCGGTGTGAACCTAGAGGCCGAGAGAGATGGCTCAGCGTGTAAAGGCGCTTGCTGCCCAGCCTGGCGAACTGGTTCTCACGTGGCAGAAAGGGAAGACTATGGCATTTGCACCCTCCCAACACACATCCACAGTAAACACAAATATATATGATATATATAATACACAGTTAGGCATAAACATATCTTTATGTATCTGTAGATATAGAGTAAAAAAATCCTGGTGAACTATATCATATATGACTTGTACATCTTTTTGTTTGTTTTGAGACAGGTTCTCACTAGCTAGCCCTGGCTGTCTTAGAACTTGCTATGGAAACTAGGCTGAACTTGAACTCACAGAGATCCGCCCGCCTCTACTTCCCGAGTGCTGGGATTGCAGGCGTGCACCACCATGCCCGGCTTCCCTCTCTATTGACTGTAGATGAGATGGGCCAGCCTCCTCTGCTCCTGTAACCTTGACTTCCCCACCGAGGTGGAGGAGGACGCATGGGACCATGAGCTAAAATAAGCCCTTGCACCTTTAAGTTGCTTGTGTTGGGTTGTTTTACGACAGCAACAGGAAAGAAACTTCGACAGCTGCTGCATATAAATCCACACAGCTTTGTAGCTGTAGGTACAGAAACAAGGGTACAGACAGATGACAGACAGCGCTGGAGAAGGTGCCCAGGCTACAGCTGAAGGCCCACATGCACCCCAAAGTAGCTATGGATTTGTCCTAACAAATAACCACTAACTCATTCAGAACACCGTGCTATGTAACTCAGGCTATCCTTGAACTCACAAAGTGGCTTAGGCTGGCCTCAAACTCACAGTCCCTCGGCCTCAGCTTTGCGGGCACTGCAATGACAGGTGTGTACCCTGTGTCCAGCCTAACTGTTCCTTCTTTTCTTGAGAAGAAGAGACCCTAATGCTTAGGGCCAGAAGGATTTCAGATTTTAGGTTTTCTGGGTAGTTTGAATATTTGCACATATACATATATATATATATATATATATATATATATATATATATGCCTATTCCAATATATATGTAATATATAGGCAACGTGTGTGTGTATGAGAGAGAGAGATTCACTCATTTATAGGGATAGACCACGTCTATGTGTTTAACATAGACCTACATACATACAAGGCCCTCTGGTCACTTTAGACAGTATTTTTAGTACACAGCACATTTGTGACCTGCTTTGTGAGGTCAGGTGTAGGATTTTCCATTGTGGTTCATGTCCGTCCTCAAGTTTCGATTTCAGAACATTTTGGATGTCGGGTTTGGGACTGGGATTCTATACTTGTGTGTGTTTTCCGAGCCCCTCACACTTTCACCTGGCCAGGGCTCAGGTCAGCTGTGGGTCTTGGGGCTTGATGGGTCCATGTTCAGGCAGGCATGCCTACCTGGCTACCTGTGAGTCCAACCTGACAAGACAGCCTCCCTCCACTCTGCCCTCTGGCTCACCGTGCTGTCCTGGATATACTGGTCCCAGATGCTGGCTGTCAACCCTTGGCCAGCGTCGCAGGGCAGGTCTGGAGACACGATCTTGTGGTTGACCAGGGCCGACAGGTGGGTCCTCACGGTGGACAGGTGTCTGCAGTAGGCAAGCCCTGGCCGGGGAGGGAAGGCAGGCATCGCCATCTTCCCACCACACCCCACCTCATCTCTCCTGGAAGCTCCCTGGGCTGTCCTGTTTCCTAGCCCTCTCTTCTAGAACCCTCGACCCGGAAAATTCTCACTGTCCCCTTTGACAAGGAAAACGAGTCGGGGATGCTGTCAGTGGGCGTCACGACTACTAAACCTGTCTTTAGGCAGAGTCCACCCTCCTCTGCTGGACACGGTAACATTTAACACAGGTGCTGTAGGCAGGGAAGGGACAGGGAGTGGGGGGAAGGGAGGACTTCCGGCCTCACCCTGGGCCTGCCTCCCACTCGTTCAGAAAGAAGAATGGCCAGCTGTGACAGAATCGCAGCTGGATGGAGAAGAAAACGCCGTGGAGATGCCAAGCGCTCTGCTTGCTTTCCAAGACAGTCCTGTCCCCTCAAAGGAGTAGCCTGCCTTGGCCACCCCATCCACTTTATCCTGGGCACTAGGAATATGCCTGGCATGCAAGGCACTCAATAAAATGCTTCTTGAGGACCACAGCAGTCATGGAGGCCTGTACTCACATCCATAGAAGGCTCTGGAAAGGATCTGGTACTTCATGTTATCACAGAGCAGTTTCAGCGGGGCCCTGCAGGAGGGGGAGGAGAGTGGGGGCAGAGAGGGCCGTACACAGCTTAGCTGCTATGCAGAGGAGCCATCCAGCTCCTCACAGATCAGGGCCAGCTGTCAGCATGGAGGGAGGCTGCTGGAGCTCCGACCCACACAACCCAGATTTCGCTTGGGGAGTCGCCACTTGGAAATGTGTCTCCATGGCTTGGATTCGGGTGGGTTATCACCTAGCACACGGACCAGGCTGAGATGGCTGAGAGGTGGTCATGTGAACCAACCTGGACCAGTGAGAATCAGCCCTGGGAGTTTGGCACATCTACCTGGAAACACACTCTTTCCTGCCTAAGTGTCTACACCAGTAGGATACATGGCAGTGGCTGCTGGGAGTGTTGGCCATCGTCAGAGAGGCCAGCCCAGGAACAGAGCGTCATGAAGGCTCTGGCTCAGTCCACAGCCAATGAACCAGAGAGTTGTTCCCATTCTCGGCATCTGGATCCAGCCAGGCTCCAAGCCACTGTGCCCCCCGAACCTCTCAACCATGCCAGCACATTTTCTTTCTTTTCCCATTTCCGTTTGCTGATTTTTTTTTTTTTTTAGGTTGGGTCTCATCATATAGCCCAGGCTAACCTGGGACCTCCAGTATTCTGCCTCAGTGTCCTGGGTGCTGGGATCACAGGACTTCTCCAACACACCCACTTATTCTATTTTTTTTGTTTTTGTTTTTGTTTTTGTTTTTTCCTCCTTGAACCAGTTTGAAGGATCTACAGGCCTGTGGATTTGGAACTGTGGGCTGCACAGTAGGCAGGGCTCAGAGCTCAGCACTTCCTGCACAGTGGTAGTTGGGCTGTTTTGAGTGAAAAGCCAAGAGCAACGCCTCATGTGGCAGGGGGATGGGCTGCGAGCTCTTACGGAGGTCAGAATGGAAGACTCTGTACATCTATCCTCAGGATACCCCAGAGATACCGGACAAACACAGGAAGCCTGGCAGGGGAGCATGGATGAAGACCTGGAGGGAGTGACTGTTTGGATGTGAGGCTCAGACTTTTTCAAGGTGCATCTGGTGAGCTGTGCCTTGGTGGGCTTGGCACTCCGCAAGGAGGTGAGCTTCTCACGGACACGGCTATACAAGCAGATGGCCCGAGAGCAGACACTGGGCAAAGCGTCATTTCTTTCGGCCCACGATGACTGTTTACTAGTTCCTCCTAATAGCCCTACTAAGCTAATGTTTCATGGAGGAGCAGGCAGAACACATAGTTGTCGTTCAGAAATACCCCCGGCTCCTGGTGCATGCCGGACCTGTGTTTCTTGGCCTTCCTGGGAGTGGGGCCACTAAGGTGAAAGCAGAAATACCATTGTCTCTGACACTGTGGACTAGTGACATCCAAGATGGATGTCCATTAGAAAGCAGACCCATGACAGACTCAGCACACGGGACGCTTCAGCATTTGCTGTAAGAAGCCACTATTGTTTCAGTGCTGCTTGTTACTACAGCAGAACCTGTACCAACTGACACACGGACGGGAACTCCAGTGGCCAGGACCACATGAAGTTCCTGATTTAAATCTAGGTCCCGGGGACCCATTTGCCATATTCACACCTCCCAAAATTTAGGGCAAGACAAGAGATCGATAGCCAAGGGCCTGCTTCAAGCTCCTCTATCTGTAGCCTAGGCCCTGCCTACCTCTCATGATTGCAGCCATTGGTTGAGCTGCCATCAGCTGAGCCGCTCTGGGAACAGGAAGAGCAGGACGACTTCCGAGGACTGGGTTGCCACAGGGATGGAAGGTTGTTCACGGAGACATCCATTAGGTCCTGGGGCACTGCGGTGGATGGGGGATGGAAAAGGGGCCCCGGCAACAACCCTGGTTAAACCAGTGTGGATTACAGAACCCTCACCCCAAAGCAAGCAGCTCCCCAAAAGCTGGCTCAGGGGACAGGCAGGATCTGAGTGTGACAGTCCCGAGTGTGCCCAGTGGCAATCTGACAGAGTCCCTGAGTCCACCTGATCCAGTGAAAGCCACCACCGAGGTTCAGAGGCCCTGGCTGTGAAGCACAGTGAGGACAGGACAGCCAACAAGGGAGGAAGAGGAGGGAAAGCTAGGAAGACAGACCCATCCCGGTGCAGAGAACCTCACCTCGCCATGTCTTCATTCAGTTCTGCTCACAGGAAGGGGACATTAGGGAAGGGAGACCTACTGGTTCTTCAGGGGAAAGGCTGGGGGCCTGAGTTACTGGACCTGGGCCGCCACAGGACTAGATGTGGTGTGAATGGGGGTAGGGTGGGCTCATCTCAGCACAGAGGCAGAGTCCCCAGGGCCAGGGAGGGCCTTCAGCTCTGTTCACGCTCCTGAACCAGCAATCACCTTCAACAGGGGCTCCTGAGGAAGCCGTGCGCCCATCCAGTGCCCCCGCCCCATGTCCTGGAGACAAAACCCTCAAATGGGCTTGTTATTATAGATTCTCTTTCCACGATGCAGGTCCCAGGGATTAGACTCAGGCTGTCAGGCATGGCAGCAAGCTCCTTTTCTCGCTGAGCCTTCTCGCTGGCCCAAGACCCGGCTTTCAGGTGAAAATTTTCAGTCACAGACATAAAGCTCCTGGCTGGATTTGTTCCCTGAGCTGGCATCTGCTAATCTAGGCTATCAGACTCACCTCACCTGCTATTGTCTCTTAGGACAACTGTTCTCTCCTAGGCTCTCTTCCTGAGCCCTGAGTGGGAGAGAGACTTGCACCCTTGTCCCCTCTCCTGGTCAGCAGAGCTCGGTGTGACTGGGTCACACTGACCCATGAGACTGAAGTGTGCTGGCTACAGAACAAGCCACACTCCCTCCTTTCACAGACTCGCCACTGGGGGCAGGGGCACAGGGGCGGGCAGGCATGCAGACAGCACTAATAAGTCACAGAGCCCAACGGCTGCCCTCTGGGGGGTGGGTACCAGGAGGCCCAGGGCTGCTCAACTGCCTCCTTTTCCCATCTTCCTTGGGAACAGGACTCAAATGACGACATGGCTAAGGCGGCACCCAGCCCCTGGGGAGGGGGAACCAGACATTACTGGGGTGCTGCTCCTTCATACTCGGTGGGGGGATGGCGAGGTATCCCCTGGTCTGTGCCCAGTGGATCCCCCTGGCCACCACCAGCACGGACTGGCCAGCAGCAAGCATCATCCAGGCAGGGCCAACAGACACGGGCCGAGGGCTGCCCAAGAGGTCATGGGCGACTTGAGATGGGAAACAAAAAGAACCAGTGAAGAGGGGAGGCTAATGTGGGTGGACAGAGCGCACCAGGGAAACCAATTCCCTGGGGTTCTAACCCCCTCCCCCTGTCCTGCTCCACGCAGCTCCCACTTATATTGTGTTGGCTGGGGGAGGAGAGCCTGGGCATTTCTAAAGCGCCCACTCTGTGCGGGGCAGTAGACCAGGTTCGGTCCTTCATCCTTGGTAACCTGTAAAGAAGTCGGCTCTCCTCATCTTTTCAGAACAGGTATCCAGAGCTGCGGCGGCGGCGACAGCAGCAGCGATGCGGAGAGCTGGGCTGTTTTCTCTAAGATAGAGGCTAGCCCAGCAGCCCCAGAAACCTGCATTTCTCCTGCTTCAGCCTCTTGGATGTTGGATTGCAGGTGTGTCCATCACACATGGCTCAGTCCAGCTGTGTGTGTGTGTGTGTGTGTGTGTGTGTGTGTGTGTGTGTGTGTGTTTGCGCAGGGGCACATGCATATGTGGACGTCTGTGCATGGTTGTGGGGGCCAGAGGTCAGCCACAAGTGTTGTTCTCCAATACCATGTATTCTGGCTTTCACTGGCCCAGAACTTGGCAGGCAGTATAAGCTGGCCGGCTAGCAAGATCCAGGGGACTGTGTGACTCTGTCTCCCTAGCAGACCATGCCTGACTTCACGTGTGTGTGCGCGTGTACGCCATTGTGTGCACATGAGTGCTGCGTGTACAAGAGGCCAGAAGAAGATCTGGAGTGTTTTCTCCTACTGCTCATCACTTTTTATTTCACTCAATGCCCCTCACTAAATTAAAGGTCCATCTTGGCTGGGCTGGTTAGCCAGGAACTTGGGGGATCTGCCTATCTCTGCCCCCCCCGGGGCTGGGGCTGTGGGCGTGTGCAGTCATTCCTTTCTTTTCATTAGATGCTTGAATTCAGATCCTTGTGCTCATATTGACCCCCTCGTAACTGGAAGTGAGAGGCTGATAGGCGGGGTCACACGGTAGCTCGCATGAGCCTGCTATGTGTGTGCTGAGCGCCCATTTCACAGATGAGGAAAAAGAAGGTCAGGGAGGGACCGAAAGAAACCTGCCCAAGTCAAGCCAGGGTCCCAGAGCCGTGCCGCTGCCCTATCAGTGCTACCTCTACCCCGTGGCATCTTCACTAGCTGAATGAGGGGTGCCTGCTGGTTCCCACTTTAGGGAAGTGGAAAGGAGTGGGACATTTATGATTGTGAGTCCCCCTTGCTGGCCCCAGAATCCAGACCTGTTGCCTCCTGCTTGTGACTTTTAGAGTGGTTCCCAGGAGGAGCTGGTGAGCTTGGCACCCAGGGCTGCCTACCGAGTTCGGACTGCATGCCAGGGTAGATGATGCGGAACACATAATCTGTGGCCTCGTCGTCCTCCTTGTCTGAAGACGTGGACTCCGAGGACCCCTGAGGGCTCCGCTTGCGCAGCTTGGGAAATACCTTCCCCTGCAGGAGCACATCCCAGGGCACACGTCAGAGAGCCGCCTGGCACAAAGGAGGGCCTCAGAGGGGAGTGCAGGAACCCACCAAGTCGCGGTGGCATCCGCTCAGCCTCCTCGAGCCCCTCACCCCCACCACACAGCCGACCCCCTCACCTTTCCTCGCTGTGACCAAAGCGGCGGGTCCAGCTGCCCGTGAGGAAGCAGCCCATTCTCCAGGCAGGAGAGGAACTGTAGCAGGTGCCCGCCCTTGGGGAAGCGGAAGGGCGGCCGCTGGATCCCGTCCTGGCTCACCAGCACAACGGTCCCACCACTGTCCACTGCCACCGCCAGACAGGAGAGGACGGCAGGATGACACACGGCGCAGTCTCCACTCTGCAAGCGCACACCTCCGCCCCCACCGCCAACCGGACCCAGGGGAGCTGCTCCGAGGCTCCCGGCCCTAGGTTTACTGTGACACCCGGAACATCGCCGTGAGGTCTGGCTGTTTATCACCCATTGTACAAGGAACAAGACCAAGGCTCACACACGGGTTTTATGGCGTCACTAGGGTTACACAGCTGGTAAGCTACAAAGCCTGGATCGGAACCAAGGTCTCCCTTAGTAAAGGGGAGTAAGCCCCTGTATTAATAAACCCCGCCTAGACAAGGCACAGTGCACGCTGCTTATTCTAAAAGGCACCTCCTTCTGGCTTTAATGAAATAGAGTGGCTACCTTTGCTCTGCAGACCACTGATCTTGGAGGTTTCAAGTCTCTGTAGCCAGCAGCCTGTGTTACTTCCTATCTGGCTGCCCAGCGCCACCCCATCACTGAGTGGCTGCAATTTGCTTGAGGAAGCACCATGGGCGCCCAGCCACCCGCTGTCCCCAGGTCTCCTACCTTGCTGGTGACAGTGCAGGTAAACAATCTCCTCTAGGCGGATGGTCACGGCGTAGTCCCAGTAGACGCTAGAAGGGGAAGTGTGGGCAGACTGCAGGAAGCCAGAGGAAGACCAGCCCAGGGGCACCGCTGCCTTCTCTCCAAGGCCCGCTCGCCCTAGTATCTGTATCCCAGCCTGCCTAGCTGCCCTCCCCTTCCTTTGGTCCCAGCACCACCACTTTCTGAGGAAACCCCCTTCGCCCAACTCTGCCAAGTCTCTACCGGGACTCTGGGGGGGATGGTGATCACCTGACCCAGACTGGCCAATCAACACTGACCAGTCACAGTGATTGGCACCGTGACTCAAGCACAGCAAGTGAGAGAGAGGGACTGATTCATGCTTAGACAGGCCTGAAGGGCTACTTGCTTCCCTGGGTCGCTCAGAACCATGCAAGGAGGTCTGTCTGAGCACAGGGACAGCAGGTGGAAAAGCAGAAGCAAGAGACAGGGTGAGTTCAGGCATGGCCGTCCAAGTCCCTGGGTCCAGCCTGGGGACCCTGTCCCTGGGTTCCTTGGATTGTTGGATAAATGCTCCAGTTGCTTGAACTTGATTTTGTTAATCGGAAGTTAAACATCTGTCTTAGCTCAGAGCCATTGGCCACCATAGGGCTGTGAGCAGAAGTCAGAACTGGCCTTTCCCAGTTCTGGCCTCACATGGGCCAGTAGTGTGATTTGAGGTTTCTCTGAGCCTCAGTTTCCACATCTATAAAATGGGTGGGCTCTAATAAGATCACCGAAGATTCAATAGAATCTTGCCTTTGAAGGACCCGACCCAGAGCCCCTCACCCAGTCCCCTCGGAACACGGTGCTTGTGGCATGGTCACTCTGAGTACTGGCTTAGCATGTCATACTAGCTCAGAACCCACCATGATCCTGAGGGAAGTTATTTTCCCCACCAGAACCTCACGAGGGGAAGCACCCGGGAGGGTGGGCTTTGTGTAAGTCTAGGAATGCAAACTCCCAGGACCCTGTACCAGGGAGCAGCGTTCACTAGCCCTGCACAGCCCCCTACATCCCCCCCCCAGATCCACTGGTCAGAACTGAGCACGTGGGCCTGGTCCAGGCCCACCCAGCCCAGGATCCCACAGCTGGTCTGGTGGATACTCTTCCCGTGTGACATCCCTTCCTCGACCCTTTGTCCCAATTCCCGCTTCTGCCCTCAGCTCTCCCCCTCCCCCAGTCCTTCCCCCAAAGACATCATCTCTTTTTCATCAATCTGTCCATGGCACCGCTCATGCGAGGTCACAGACTGACCCAGGCATCATGCTGCATCCCACGTCTGACACCTGCGGACCGGCTCTCCCCACCCTCCCTGGCTCTCAACTGGAGTGAGAGCAGAAGAGCATTACAGGCCTCCCGCCCTGGGCTACCAGCCGGCCACACCAGTGGCCAGGAAAGTGGGCACCCTCGGCAGCGGTTAGCAACCACAGTGCCCTTTCTGGTTCCCGGTCCTCTGTGCCTGCACATCTGTGAAGGGCTCCACTCCTACACCCTCAAGCACAGATGAGGCAACCAAGGCTGGGGGACATGGACGTGGGTGCTCACGGTCGCCCAGGAGGGGGCGGGGCCGGTTCTTGGCTCGGTCTGCTGTGTCCTCACAGCTTGCCAAGGTGTTGCTTACTATTTGCTATCCTCACAACTTTGATAGCACACCTGTACATTCTCTAAGTTACATTTTGATTTATTCATCTGTGAGTGCTCACGTGTGTGTGGGGGGGGGGTCAGGGGAGGTGGGCGGGCACACATCCTGTTGATGAGTGGAGGTCAGAGGGCAAACTGGAGGGGTCAGTTCTCTCCTCCACCATACAGGTCTTGGGAAGAGAACTCAGGCTGCCGGGTTTGGGTGGAAGAGACCATTGCTCCTTGAGCTATCTCACTGGCCCCAGAGAGTAGACCTAGACGGGTGAGCAGCTGGCCACGCCCGCTCCCGAGGCTCCGCCTCTCTGTCTTGTGTCTTCTCAAGGCTGGAGGTCCCACAGCAGCAGGGAGGCTCGCCGGTAAACCATTAACAACAGGGCAGAGGAGGGCATCCCGGTGTCTAAGAGAGTCAGCTGAGGTTCCCTTACCTCTTCTCGTAGTCCAGGTCCCCCACAGATCCGTTCATCAGCTGGTTGGGTGTCCACTTCAAGGTCATGACGTCAGCTGTCTGGTGCAGGGACAGGTACCCTGGCACAGCCTCCATGTCATCCCTCTGCAGAGAGAGGAGAACTCAGGCATGGCCATGTCGCTGGGCTGCCCTGGACATGGGCTTCATCTCTGCCTCTTGACGCCAGGCTATGTCTACCCCTTGGTTCCATCAGACCCAACAAGAGAGACTGCACTATAATGTTACACTCAAAACAAGGCCTGTTTCTTGGCCAGCCTTAGGCGTAAAGACAGGACAGGTCCCGTGACCCATGCCTATGGGAATAGCTATTACCCAGAAACCCTCTTCCCGAGCACCCCCTACACACACACACACACACACACACACACACACACACACACCGTGCAGCTCAGCCTCTACCTGCCCAGAATCTTCCCATGGTACCTCTCACCCACTTCCCGTTATTCCAAGTCAGTGGATGGGCGAGAAAATGGCTCCATCCCTCTCCTGGGAAGGAAAGCCTCCCCACTCCTGAGCCACCATCTTATCCATCCCTGACTTGGGACGTGTATGTTCATGGCTGTGGCGTCTCATGGCTGTGAAGTGGCTGTCACTGCATGATTACACACAGGCTCAATCACTGCTGACAGTCATCCCCTCAACTGGGCTCAAGCAGGGCTGTTATTTCGAAAGGCGGACACACGAGTGAGTTTTGAACGTCTCCTGACAGAGGAGGCCGTGATTCAGCATCGGAAGGCAGAGCTATTGTGACTTGGATTCGGGAACAGGGTGGCAGCCCATTGTTCATCTCTCCAGGTCACAGAGCCCCAGATCCCTCTGGAAAGCAGAGACAGCACCACACTCTGTGGGCCTTCAGGCCCTCATCAGAGACAACACTGGACATTCTGTGCTTCCCAGGACTGCTGGGTAAGAGGTCAACAAAATTTTTGTGTTGAGGGTCTGGCAGGAAATACTTTGGGCTTTATGAGCCATATATGGTCCACGGCCACCATGGCTCTCTGTCACCAGAGTAGGGTCATTTTTCGATATCTTGATGACTCATGGTCTCTCTCTCTTTACTCCGGCCCTCATGCTGTGGATGGAGCCTTGGGCGAACTTAGCCCTCTACCCCTGAATTGGACCCCAGTCCTCAGCATTGGAAGCTTATAGCTGGTCATCTGAAAAGCGGCTACATCTCAAACTCATTGCTTCCTGAATAATGACTTAAGACATTGTACCCGCCGTGATGCCGGTATAACAGCCCTCGGCGCAAATGACCTGCTCAGGGTCACACAGTGGTTGAGGCCGTGATCACAGAGCCGGGACCTCTCCCTACTTCCTTCCAGCTGAGCCAGAACGACACACTGACTGTGAGCCAATGACCAGGAGGAGATGACAGCAAAGGACACTGCCTCAGAGGCCTCAGGCTCTGCCCTTGTGCCCAGCCAGCTGCTGGAGCACAGAAAGCAACCGATTCATCGGAGTAGCTGGTGCGAGAGCACATTGTAATCCTGCCCCTCGTGCGGGCTTCAGCTTTGCCACCCCTATAGTTAGTGCAGCTCCGGCACTTCACACAGCACTGGGTAGGTGTCTCTGCCACACAGAGGCTCTGGGTAAGGGTTTGCTGAGTGACAGCCAGGCGGATGGGATGGCCTGATGGACAGGGGTGTAGGGATGGACTGGAAAAGAAGTGGACAAGCAGGTGGGTGGATAGAAACTGGGTCAATGTAAACACAGATAGATTGACAAATGGTGGGGGGGTGCAGAGAACGGAAGAGCTGACTGGCAGGGCAGCTAGCTAGAGATATTGCCCTATGTCCTTATATATAGATGGATGTGTGTGAGTGTGTGAGTGTGTGTGTGTGTGTGTGAGAGAGAGAGAGAGAGAGAGAGAGAGAGAGAGAGGATAGATGCTGGATGAAAAACACACAGCCAGATGTAGGAACAGATATACAGGGGTGTGGATGGATGAATGATAGCTTACTGGCAAATTGGCAAATGGATGAATAAACAAGTAGGGGGGCTGGCTAGACAGATGATGGTGGGCAAGCAAACGTAGTTATGCATTATGGAGGTGTTGGCAAGTGGAGGAAGGGAGAGATTGTTGGGTGAGTGGTCAGATGGATGGGTGGGTGAGTGGGTGGGTGGATGGATGGGTGGGTGGATGGATACGTCCTTGGATGGATGGGTGTGTGGATGGATAGATGGATGGATGGATGGATACGGGTAGATGGATGGATGGATGTGTGGATGGATGGATGGATGGATGGATGGATGGATGGATGGGTGGATGGATCGATGGAGATGCTACTGGGTGATTAAAACAACACATGGGGGTTGGATGAGTGGTTAGTTAGATTGGTAGATGAACAGATGTATAGATGGAGTTGTTGGTACATATACGAGTGAGCAGATAGGTGGGTGAGTATATAAATAAGCAGGCGGATGAATGGACAAATAAAGGGGTGGACAACCCGGTGTTAGAGGGACCTCTCCTGCCCTCATAACCTGTAGCCACATCCTCAGAGCATCATCTAGGCACACTGAAACTTACTGGCTGAACCAGAACATTGTTCTTGCCATAGAGCAGGGTGGCCCTGGAGTTCTGGTGCAGGGACTCGACGTAGTCCCGTGCGGAGATGGACGGCCGGTCATCCATGCTGCCACTCGAATGCCTCTTCTGGATCTGGTGGGAGGATGGGAGAGCGAGGGGTGAGCCCGCAAGTCACCTCCAGGCCTCTCACCCTGTCCCCTGCCCCAAGACCAACTGCCCACCCACCTCACACAGAGTGTCCACGACCCTCCCACTGCCCACCCATCTCACACAGAGTGCTGGCCGCTTGGTGGGAGAGTCCTGTCTCAGGTGTGAGCTGTGGATCCGGTGTCTCTGGACCAGTTCATCGGCAGAGGGGTCGGTCCAGAAGTGGTCTGCTGTCTTCATCTTGGTATACTCCAGGGCACAGGGCCCCACTGTGGAGCACACAGGGCTGGGAGCCTGGAGTCCCCCAAAGCGCCCCCACCCGATTGCCTCAGAACAGGCTCCCCCAGATGACTCCCTCTCCCTCCAGGCAGTGAGGACGCCCCAGAGTCCAGCAGGAAGACGCCAGAGCAAGAGACAGGCCCCCAGCCCCAAGAGTAGAGGACCAGATGCAGCGCACAGCCGAGCGCTTACCCAACAAAGATGCCAGGATGGGACCGTCCACGGGGTCCATCAGGAGCGCCTCCTTCTCGTAGTACTTACTGAGGGGAGGAAAGGACATGCAGGTCTGCATGGAGACCAGCAGAGGGCGCCCAGCTCAGAGCCTCAGCTGCAGAGGGTGGGGAAGGGTGCCCGGCCTGGAGCTCTGGGGCACCAGCTCACTAAACTGGGAGAATTTTAGGAGAGCAAAGGAGTCAGAGGTAAGGTTCTCGGGTGACGCTGTCCTTCTGTTACCAAGGCAATTAAATGCCGTCTAGCCAGGGTGTAGGCTCCAAGGCCGTGCTAACCGACTGTCCTAGCCTGTTAGCTCAAGACAAACGTCAGCCCCAAACCTCTGGGATTTGGCTCTGATGGATGTGTGATGTCATCAGTACAGTGTCGACGCTGACGGTTTGCTGATGGTCTTGTTTGTGAGAGGCTTGGTGGGATGAAATCATAAATATTAATATACTGATAGAAGAGTTATCTCAGGGTGGGCGGGTGGCTCCACAGTTAAGTGCTCATTGTTCTTGTAGAGGCCGTGGGTTCGATTCCCAGCACCCCCGTGGTGGCTCACAGCGATCCGTAACCACCCTTATCGGGATGGACACCGAGCCAGGGGAGGAAGTATCTAGCCCCACTTCTCTGTAAACCGCTCCATTTTTTTTTTTTTTAAATCCCCAGAGACCACTGCACACAGAGGAAGGCTGTCCTGCCCTCAAACAGCTATCAAGTAGAGGGGGTTGCAGAAGGGCGGGATCCAAGATCCCTCCATCTTGCCCTAAATGTGAAGCCCCTGTTTTCACATCGCTCTTCAACACCTGAATCCTGCCCAGCTTTCAAGTTCAGGGTCAAAAACGCAGAAAGCTTTTGTTTAAGCCTTTTCAAACCTCCGGGAGGGGGTTGGGGTGAGGAACTAGACTTGTTTATTCTCGAGGGTGCGGTTCCCAGAACGGCCAGCAGGTGGCGGCAGAGCACAGCGGGTGGGTCTCTCACCTGCTGTTTTCCACCAGATAGTGGACGATTTTGTCCAGGACCCTCTCGAACAGGGCGGTGCGGATCCACAGGTGCTTGATGGCCAGCGGGGACAGGTTGGGCAGCTTCGGCAGCTTCCGCACATTCTCCTGCAGGCCCTGGATCTGGTTTCGCCTTTAAGGCCAGCCGGAGGAGAGAACACACTCAGGAAACAGGGAACCGCCAGAACAAGTACCCTCCTAGCTGGCGGATGGGGTGGGAGGGGCTTGGGGATGGTGGGGGAGGGATGGGGCGTGGAGAGTGAGGGTGGGGGTGGGAGTGGGGGTGAGGGTGGGGATGGGAGGGTGGGGTGGAGGTGAGACTGGGGGTGGAGGGGGAGGGTGGGGAAGGGGGTGTGGGGGAGTATAGGTGGTGAGGGTGAAGGTGGCTGTGACAGTGAAAACTGCAGGCAGAGAGTGGCCAAGGCTGAGGGGACGATGTAAGTTCTGCCAGCTGGGAGGTCAGAGGCCCACCTCTGTCCTTGCTGTCCCTCCCTCCTCTCTGCTGCCTCTGCTTCCCTCTCCTTCCCCTCCCTGCACCCTCTTGGAGAGGAATGCTGGCCAAGGAGGCTTAAATTTTTCAGTTCCTGCAAAGACCTTGGGAAGGTAGCCCCCATGACCTCACCCCAATCCCAGCCTCAGCAGCACCCCAACCACCATCCGAAGGCTCCACGGTCCAACAGGCCGCAGCCCAGGCTGTGTGCCCAGCTCCCCTCAAAGCCCTTTTGCCGTGGTTCTCCAGGGTAGGTTAGACCAACAGAGCTGGCTCTGAGTTCCAGTGACAGACCTTGTCTCAGTAGCATAGAGTGATCAAGTTTACCTCAGCCTCTGATCTCCACCCATGTGCACACACACACACACACACACACACAGGCACATCATACACATACACACACGCAGATAAAATAGAACATGGTTTCCATTTGGCACTGCTTCTCTCAACAGTCACGTCCTGGGATGGAGACAGGAGCCAGCGTGCACCTTCTGGGCGTGTCTCCCCATGCCACACTCACGCGCTCTCAATGAGTTGCTCCAGATCCTGGACCTTTCGGCTCAGCTCCTCGGCCGGGGGGAAGCCCTTGCCCACCTTCATGAAGAGCGCAGCGATCTTGTTGCTGCGCAGGAAGCCGGCGGCCCTCCGCCGCAGCCCGTGCAGCACGCAGGCCTCCACGGCCGCTGTGGGGACACAACAGTCAGCAGCCGTCCTGGCTCTCGTCCACGCTCTCTAGCACAAGGAGTCACGACACTACAGAGAAAATGCATCCATGTGCCGACGGAGTGGAGGGAGGGTCGTGGTTCACACACACACACACACACACACACACACACACACACACACAGGCATCTCTGCTCATGTCCTCTTTCAGCTTGCCTGACTACAGCCATGACTTCCTCTCGTTCTGCCTTAGCCTTTCCTGAGGAGGAGCGATGAGAAGGAAGAAACCCATCACCATGCTGTCAGGACAGCTGACAAAGTGCTCGAGACTCAGAGCCGGCACCGTGAGCTCCTCATGAGCGTTAGCCATCACTGCCGCCAAGAAAAGAGAGGAGGCTGGGCCAAAGGGCTCCTGAACCTCGCCTGAGCCAAAGAAACGCACCATCACCATCGACGCCATCATCATCACCACAGTCATGTTCACCAGCTGTTGACACTGTCATTATTGCCATCTGCCTTACCAGCAGCATCGTTATCACCATCATCTCCATTACCACCAGGGTCACTACCATCCTCACCATCATTACCACCATCATCATCACCATCACCATTGTCACCATCACCATTGTCACCATCATCATCACCACCATCATCACCATCACCATCATCACCATCTTTATCACCAACATTGTCATCACCACCATCATCACCATCATCATCACCATCACCATCATCACCATCTTTATCACCAACATTGTCATCACCACCATCATCACCATCATCATCACCATCATCACCATCTTTATCACCAACATTGTCATCACCACCATCATCACCATCATCATCACCATCATCACCATCTTTATCACCAACATTGTCATCACCACCGTCATCACCATCATCATCACCATCACCATTGTCACCATCATCACCACCATCATCACCATCACCATTGTCACCATCACCATTGTTACCATCATCACCACCATCATCACCATCTTTATCACCATCATTGTCATCACCACCATCATCACCATCATCATCACCACCATCATCACCGCCATCATCACCGCCATCATCACCATCTTTACCACCACCATCACTGTGATATGACAGTTAATTTATAAGCCATGTTTAATTTCTGTCATGGCCAAGTAGAAAACCATTTCCACTTTTCAGGTGTGGACACTGAGACTCAAAAAGGCAAACTGGACTGAGGGTAAGGTGTGGGGACAGAGCTCAAACCCAAGCCTGAGGCGTGTATCCAGCACACTCGTGCTTGCACAGAGGAAGCTGAGAAGGAGCAGCGGTTGCTCTAGCTGCCCATTTGTTCCCCTGGGCACTCCCCCTGGCCCTGCTTCAGCAGAGGATGCCTGCTGTATTCTGGGTTCTGCTCTTGACTCGCTGTGTGAGCTCAGGCAGATGGCTTTCCCACTCCGGGCTTAAGTGAGCCCTTCTAGAAAATGTGCAGGCCGCTCTGACGGCCCCTAACTTACTCCTGGCATTTCTGGGAACCTTCTACACTCCTTCTGTTTCCCACAGGTACACACTAGGTGCATACTCAATGCTCACTGAAAAATCGAGTATACAGGAAGGCCTTATTTTTATGACAGGCCTGCTGGGTGGTAGGCACTGTTAGAACCGTCCCTGCCCTGGGCTTGTAACACAGCTGTGCAGTGAGAGCTCAGGTGGGCATGTCCTGGAATGGGGAGCCGGCCTGCATTTGGCAAAGCTCACACACACAGAGAGACACCAGGCCCTTGGGTACTTGCTGCTTGTCTTTTGTCACTGGATCTTCATTTTGAGTTGTAGGTACCTCATTTCGAAGGAGCACATGCAGGCAGGCATTCTGGGCAGGCTCCCTGGGGCTTCCGTAAGACCTGACCCCTGTGGTACTCTAAGGATCAGCTGATCGGTTACTGGGCTTTGAATATGCTTGTTCAGTTCTTCCTGACAATGGCCCCAGGAACAAAGAATTTTAAAAAGCTCCCAGAGTCCCCTGTACTTTATTTAATGCCTTTCAATCCACCCCCCCCCAAAAAAAAATCTTGGATCAGATAGAGAATTCTTTTTGTTATTACTTTTGAGCCAAGGTCTCACCATATAGCTGTGGCAGGCCTGGAATTCTTCATGTAGACCAGGGTGGCCTTAAACTCACAGAGATCCACCTGCCTCTGTCCCTGTGTCCTGAATGCTAGATTTGGTGTGAAGGGCTGGGGACGGAGCCAGCTACATGCCAGACAAGTACTCTACCAGAGGGCCCCCGAGACCTTCTTAACTTTGAGACAGGGTGTGGTGGTTTGAATGAGAATGGCCTTCATAGGCTCATACATTTGACTATTTGGTCCCCAGTTGGTGGAACTATTTGGGAAGGATTAGGAGGTGTGGCCTTGATGGAGGAGGTGTGTCAATGAGGCTTCAAAAGCCCAAGCCATCCCCAGTCACTCTCTCTCTACCTCACAGTTGTGGATATCACACAAGCTCTCAGCTACTGCTCCAGAGCCATGCTTGCCTGCCTGTGGCCATGCTCCCAACCACGATGGCCACGGACTAGCCCTCTGAACTGTTAAGTCCACATTAAAGGCTTTCTTCTCTAGCTTGCCTTGGTCATGGTATTTTGTTGTAGGAAAAAAAAAATAGGTAATTGAGACACAGGGAGGGTCTCACTAGGTTACCCAGCCTGGCCGTGGGCTTTCCCTCCATCCCACCTCAGCCTCCTGAGTGCTTGGGGTTTCAGCTCTGTGCCACAAGGCCTGGCTAAGTAATTCTTTCACTGCGCTGTCTTCCTCTGTAGCTTAACTGACAGCTGTGTCAGCAAGTCTCAACATGTCATCTTATCCTCAGATAGAAACACCCAGGAGAAAAATAAAAACCCAGCACAAGCATATAACATACAAAAATACATTTTATGTAAATAAAATATTCTAAGCTAATAACATAAATGCAAGTGTGTGTATTTATTTTTTTTATTTTTTATTTTTTCCTGAGACAGGGTTTCTATGTATAGCCTTGGCTGTCCCGGAACTCACTCTGTAGACCAGGCTGGCCTCAAACTCACAGAGATTGGCCTGCCTCTGTCTCCCTGAGTGCGCCCAGCTGTGCATTTATGTTTAAATCGACACCCTCCACTTTCCACATGAGATCTTTGCTGGCCTGCCAATTGAGAGAAAATGGTGAGGTTTGGGTTCCGTGAGAGACCCTGTGTCAAAAGCAGTAAGGAGAGTAACTAAGGAAGATAAGGAAGACACCCCCATGGTCAACCTCTGTCTCACAAACACATGTACATGTGAACACACACACACATTACACGTACACTCCAAAGAAACCTAAATGAATTGGGGGTTTTGTCCAAGATTACTCTGGGTTGGGGTTGTCATCCTGACACCAGCAGAGACCTCTTGGAAGTGAGAGCATGTCTCCATCAAGATTGGCTGGTAGGCAAGCCCATAGGGGATCTTTTTGATTGATAGGTGTGGGATGGTCCAGCCTCCTACGAGTGGGAGTGGTGCCATCCCTGGGCTGGTGGTCCTGGCTTCTACAAGAAAGTGGGCTGAGCAAGCCAGTAAGCAACAGCCCTCACGGCCTCTGCACCAGCTCCCGCCTCCAGGTTCCTGCCCTGCCTTTCTTCTGTGGTGGATAGTTATATAGAAGTGGAAGCTGAAATACTACCCCCACTACCCCCTGTTCTGGCCCCCAGCATGCTCCACGCCTCATCAGCCCCACTGGTGGTGCCCAGCTCTGTGGATATAAGTGGGGAGGCTGGGTAGGTGTCCTTGCTCAGGTATCTGAGGGAAATCCCCAACGCGTGCACTTCCAATGAGACAGACATTCCACTCACTCAAGTTCCAAGGAGAAAGATGGGCGGTTCTGCTCTAAAGGCCACCCACTGTGAGCTGGAGGTGACCTCTGGCTCAGGGAGCCCTGACTCTGGCCATCATCCAGACACAGTGAGAACCTGGCTCCTCAAGAGCAGGGCTGGCTTGATGGCTGTGTGTGTGTGTGTGTGTGTGTGTGTGTGTGTGTATTAGTGTGTGTCTGAGTCACGCTTGGGATTCCAAGCCTTCCAAGCTCAGGCTGCTGAGTGTGAGTCTCAAGATGCCTCAGAGGCTGCTTATCCCCCATACCCAATTATCTGTCACAGGCTCCTCTGCGGCCCAGGCTGGCTGGGAATCAATATATACCTGATGATGACCTTGATCTTCTGATGCTCCTGCCCCCTACTGGGGTGACAGGCTGGTGCCACCATGCCTGGCTTTATGCAATTTAGGGGATGGAATCTGGGGGTATGTGCCTTTGAGGCAAACACTCTACCAACTGAGCTGCGTGGGGGATCCTTTCGCTCCACCCTTTACCCAGCCAGCGGGGGCAGAGGGAGGAGGTGACCTCAACCCCTTCTCCCACAGTTCTGCATCTCTGAATCCGCTTCCTCCTGCAGAGTGCCTCCGGGATCCCAAAATAACTTCAGAGCCACAAAGCTCGACGTGACGCAGGAGCTGGCTCATAGGTGCGCCGCCCCCACGGCCACCACTCACCACAGAAGGAGATGATGTGGCTGCTGTCCTCATGGACAAACTTTCGGGTGACGGCCTCCTCCATGATCTGCTTCACCTGCAGGGCGCACATCGAGGGTTGGGGGGAGAGACTGACTGGATGGGAGGCCGCACCCCAGGGCCCCAGCCGCCACTGCCACTCCCCCCACACACACACACACACGCAGGGGTGTCTGCGGGCTCTCTGGAGTGTTTGGGTAACCCCCTGGTCCTTCCACAGCCTCTGATCTCAGGCAGATTGGTGGCTGACAGCTACATCCCCTTTGCCCCCATTTTACTTCATTTCCATGGAGGCCTATGACCTCTTCCATTCGTCACACAAAATGCCCTTCCCTGCACGAAGTTCCCAAAACTGTTCCTATCCAATCTCCGTCGCAGGTCCTTTAACGGACTCACCACCGTTCCCACTCTGATTCTTGTCCTTGTCTGCATCTCCCGTCCAGAATACAAGTGCCCCTGCCTTGCCCGTTGCCTTATCCACGGTGCGTATTAGGTGCTCAGTAAAGACCGCCGGCGTGCATGGTGAGTTTGAAGATAGAGGGATGAGGAGGGTGTCGTGGGAACAGTAAATTATGGGATCTGGGAGACCTGGGTTCAAATCCCTCATGGGAACCCAGCAGCTTTGTGGGTGAGCTTTGGGAAATAGAGGCTCAAGATAGACCACTTGCCAGCAATGGAGGAAAGGAGCAGACAAAGACGGATTCCCAGCTTGGGTCCACATCACAGGCTGTGGCCTTTCCTGACCACACTCAGTCCCCACCAGCACTTGTTGAATGACTCCAGGGAGGCATCCCAGGACAGCTGGCCTCATCAACAGTAGTGGCCTCTGGGGCTTGGACATCCCCTGGCTTACCTGGACTTGCACCCCGCTGTTCCTAGAGGCATTGTGGGATTCAAGCAAAGCCCTTCTTTCTGGGCCTCAGTTTCCCCACCTTGAGACCGAGGTCAAAAGGTGACCCAAAGTCCTACTTATCCCATAAATCCACCCCAGGGCCTCTAGAATAGGGCAAAGGCAGCCAAGTCCTGGATCCCCACACAGCTGCCTGACGGAGGTGCCCCAGACCCTGCTGCCTCTTCCTGGAGGTGCAGACAGCATCACCAATGCTCCGTCACATACCACCAGGTGCTCAGAGGCGGCATGGTGCTGCCCACCCACCCGAGTCAACACCAGCCCTGGGAACAACAGGCCGGCTCTTTGACCAGTGACAGCAGCCCAGCCCGGTGTCACCAGGAGCTGTTCTCGGCAGGAACCCTGCTGCGAGGCCTGTGAAGTCACCCTGTTTTACAGGTGTGGCTTCGAGATTTGAACCCACGGCCTCACACACGCTAGGCAAGCGCTCTACCACGGAGCCACACCTCCCGCCAAATCTTTTCCGTGAGTGCAGTGGAATGAAACTGGAAGTCAAAAGCGGGGAGGTGGGGTGGAGGGGAACAACAGAAAACCCACAAATGTGCCGACATGAAACAGCTCATCTGCCAGTCAGAGAATTCACAGGCGGTGTTGGCAGATGCCATGAGGCAAACGTGAACGAAGACAGCGCGCCGACACACACACACTCCGAGTGGGAGAACAGTGCCGAAGAGAAATTAGAGTGGGGAGCCATGACGTTAAAAGAGGGAAGACCTCAGACTGCAACTCAGCTTTACTTCCTAGGAGTTAGGAATACGGCGAAAGAAACCCGGGACAGTAGAGGGGAGGAAACACTAAAGATTGCCACAGAGATAACACGAAGGAATCCGGCCAGCGTGATGGCTCAGTGGGTAAAGACACATCCTGCCAACCCTGACCTTCTGAGTCCGATCCCTGGGACCCACAGGGTGGAAGGAGAGAACGGACGTTCACAAGTTGTCCTTTGACCTCTGCCTGCATGCTCGCCTGCACACAACAGATAATGTAAACAGGTAAAGAAATAAGAAAGAAAAGCAAGCAGAGGGCTAGGTCTGGCGGCGGGGCAGCAGCTTGCTGACCCTGCAATGAGTCTGGCTCCACCAGGCCAATGTCCTCTGCATCCTGACCCAGCCTTCCTGCCCAAGGTGGTCTAGCCTGGGACAGCTGACTGGCGGACAGCCCCACAGTGTGGCGTTCCAGGCTCCTGAAGACACAGCAGCCGCCGTCTCTAAATCAGGTGTGGTCCTGTTCTTCCGGGGCAGCCGTTTGCCTGTCTCCCCTGGGGCCGCTCTGACGTAGCAGCCCTGCTGACAGGCGGTATGTGGAGATGCCAGGCCCCATCTGCTCTGTGTCCCCAAAGGAAGCCATGAGCCTCCTCAGGACATGTGGCAGACACTCAGCTTTCTCTCAGGGCTCAGCGCTGGGGAACAGGGGTGGAGAACAGCCTTGGTGAGTTCTGTTTCCAGACACTGGGTGTCCTCGGACCTGCCTGCCTCTACTATCTAGGCCATCTCTCCTCCTCCCATCCTTTCCCCTGCTGTTTCTCTTGCACCCCCAAACCCTCTCACGGTGACAGGTCCCTTCCCCCGCTGGCTGTGTGTTGGGGTTGTCTTTTCTTCCCCACACTGGTTATTTTAAAACATTGCCTCCTACTGACTCAGAATATGATCGCTTTAGGAAAGAAAATTAAGTCATCAGTGTGGCCCCTAGTCTAGTCTGAGCAGCGTCCCCAAATGAAGAGGGAAATAGGGAAACAGGACAGTCCAGGGGAAAGATGGCCTAGCGACAGGGAGAAAATGGCATCTAGAGGCCAAGAATCAAGGCCTGGCTGGTCCCTCCTTCACAGCCTCAGCTTGTCAGTCTGCCTGTGGTGTCTTGTTACAATAGCCCAAGCAAATAAAAGCACCCACCATCAGCAGCCTCAGGATCTGTGTCCTCCTCACCTCTGTACCTTTGACTGGACCAGTGAGCCACTCAGCCGCAGAGAAGGCTTCTCCCAGGTCCCACTCCTTCCCAGGTGACTTCTGTGGGGTGTAAGACCCAGCACCTTTGTCCCCCTTGGGCAGCTCTGAAGGGCCTCTCTGGCTCCTCTCCTCCCCCCGGGCATCCACAGAGGGGCCACTTCCCTTCTGTTCACCTCTGCTGAATTAATGTCCACCCAGAGCTGCTGAGCTGCACTGAAAGGGTGTCGCAGGGGACAACAGAGAGCAGAAGAGCACCCTGAAACCACAGCAGGGTGGGAAGAAGGGCCTGGGCTCTGTGTCCCATGGGTCACTTCCTGCGTGCATGGAGAGTGAGTGGTGGGGATGCGGCCAGACAAGGCCATCCTGGAGGAAGATCTGGGGACCACAGAGGCTCAGCTCAATTCTTGGCTCCTCCCTGGGTCATTTCACTGTCAGTGGCTCAAGTGAGAGTGGGCAGCTCTCACCCATGCTCAGACTGCATTGGAATATTAGAAGGGAAGAGAAGACAGTGAGGGGGGGCAGGGCCCCCCTCAGGACGGAAGGACCCTTGTCTGCAGCCTGACCGCACAATTGCCCCTTCTGCCCTCTCCTCCCTCCTCTCTGTCCAGGTCATCATGAAAGGTAGTGCTGACTCCTGGTCCTCACTGTTCCCTCACCTGCCCGATGTCTCCCAGGGCCCTACCCTCTCAACAACCTCTTTATTAAACTCGTTTTCCTGAAAGCGGTTTTGGGGAGCCATCTGTTTCCTACTGGCACCTTGACCCAACTGTACGCACACACGGCATGTTGACGGCCATGAGAGGAGACTTAGAGATGCTGAGTCCCATTCCTGAGATTATACAGCCCCACGGAGCCCAGGGGGTGGCATGTGGGGCGGGGCATCATCTGGGGCGGGGCTTCGAGGGGGCGGGGCGGGGGATGGCAGAGGGAAGGCAGCAACAACTGAGACCCTCCCACCTGGGCTGCCCCTCCCCCAGGTCTTGCTAAATTATTTCACAGAAGTTAATGGCAGGCTTAGCCGAGGCTAGGAAGGGAAGTTGAAAAGCCTGGTGAGTGGCCACAGGGGTGGAAGCCTCCCTCCCACAGGTCACCGAAGCCTGTGGAGGAGGGCAGGAGGCTGTGCCCACTCTGAGGGAGAGGAGCCCACTGGATGGCCCTTGGGCAGAACACCCTGGGGAGGAGGGTTGGAGGCTAGCCCTTTTACCCTGGCAGGCTCCGAGGTGCAGCCTTGAAGTCTCAGCTCAGGAAATTTAGGTTAGTGCAGCCCAGGGCTGCTGGGGGGTGGGGGTGTGTGGCCATGGGGTACCATCCTGATCCCTGAGGGCCTGCAGGATTTTCTAAGCTTTGGTCTAGAGCACATGGCATGATAGAGATGCCACCCTGGAGCCACAACCCTGCCTGGGTTTTCTAGTTCCACCCAGCTGAGTCCACTGTGCTGGCCCTTCAGGATGCCCGCCCTTCTGTGAAGAGAGGCCTGTTCTGCACTGCTGCCTTGAGGACAATGTGGACGAGAGGGCTGGCAGGGCACCCACAGCACAGAGTGGGCATCCTGTTTGTTTTTGAGGAAGGGGCTCTTGTAGCCCAGGCTGGCCTCAAACTTTCTAAATAGCAAGGGATGACCTTGCAACTCCAGACACCCCAGCCTCTCCTCCCCCCCACCCCCCGCCACGTTCTAGGGTTGAAGGCTTGAAACAGCACTGCTGGTTGTATGTGGTCTCTGTGAAGGGCATCTGGGGCCTTGAGCTCAGCAGTGACCCTATGAATGGAGTTACCCGCCCACAGCAGACTTCATGATGATCAGTGTCATGACTCAGCACTTGCCTCAACTCCGGAGCTCCAGAGACTGTGTGCAAGTACAACCATCTTAGTTTGCTCCAGTTTCCTTTAGGGGTGGGGAAACTGAAGCATGGTAACATACCCAAGGACCGAGGAGTCCCGGGCCCTTGCCTTGCAACCAGCTACTGACCATGTTTCAGTCTGAAAGGGGAGAGAGGTTTCACTGAGCACGTGCAATGGCCTGACCGCTCATGGGCAACACCTTCCCCGGTGTCCTTGCTCTAAATACAAACAGCGCTGAGGTGTGTGGCTCAGGCATAGATCGCGTACTTAGCATCTGTGAATTCCTTCCCTAGCTCTGTAACAGGGCCAAGACCGTGCTAAGGTTCCTCCATCTTGTATTCTTCCTGAGGCCATTTTAGGTTTAAC